GACATGGAGAATAACTGCTATAAATAAGAAGAAAATACAATCATTTATAAACGCATGTCTCAGAAAGATCCTGCGAATTCGCTGGCCTAAAACCATCAGAAATGATGTTCTATGGCAACGGACAAATCAACTGCCAGTGGAAGTAGAGATCCTCCAGAGAAAATGGAAATGGATTGGCCACACACTCAGGAAGCCTGTATCCAGCATAACAAGACAGGCCCTCACCTGGAATCCACAAGGCAGGAGGAAGAGAGGCAGACCAAGAAAGACCTGGAGACGTGACCTGGAAGAAGACACCAAGAAGATTGGATACACCTGGGGACAGTTGGAGAGACTAGCCCTGGACAGAGACGTCTGGAAAGCTCTTGTCAGCGGCCTATGTCCCAGTAGGGACGACAGGCAAACATGATGATATATATATATATATATATATATATATATATATATATATATATATATATATATATATATATATATATACTTTATTTCTTTGGGGGGAAATGCCGCACCAGTGACATCCTACCTAGTACGCCACTGTCCCTCGCTGAATCTTCTGAGGATTTTCAAGAATGTGGGGTTTTTTTTAACCCAGGAAGAAACATCTGAGCGTCGCGTCTGTTCTCTTTTTGTCGTGTTTCCTATAGTACATTATGTATATTGTCCATGTATCCATTTGTTACCGTAAAAAATCTTCACGGTTGACAACGTAGTGCCTCGGTACTTAGCTTCATTAATTACTTGACATGCGCAGAAGATAGTGCGGAAGCTGTTTACTTCCTTCAAAGAGTAGTAACTCCTTTCGATTAGGAACGTTACTTCCTCCTTTCAATGTTAGAAGATGTCGCATCAAACGGGAATAACAGGTCTGTATTTTACGTAAGCTATAAACCCCCCTCAATTTCAATTGTGCATGTTACTGTTAATCAAACAATAAACTGTAGAACAAGGATCAGTGTTAAAAGCTATTCATATACGACAGTGTTTAAAATGAATTCACTCTGCTGACTGCTGATAATTTTATTTTTAATTAAATTTTCACTTCTTAGTACTTTTTTTAAAGAAGTGGGTGTGTCGATCGTTTGCCTCTCATCTGCTTTCGTAATAAATATTATATTATACAATGCATTTGTACAGGTATATTGTTTATTAATGAGAAAATTTACATTTTTGTTAAAGAAGTAGGCCTAATTAAAATTTGCCGCTACTTCTACAAAAAAAAAAAATAGTAGAGTCTATATTTAAGTAGGCTAAGGCTTCCCAAATTCCATCTGGCATCTAGCTACTTAGTACTTACTGCTACTAACTAAGCTAGCTGTTAGGCCTCTATAGGTACTTGACTCACAATAATAGTTAATGTAAAGATGGCAAATCAAAAAACTAAGTTAGCATTCTTTGGGTCAGAAACCATTTCTGCTTTATGGCTAATTGTTAAATAAAACTACTTAATATTAAGTTTTAATCTTTTATGTTTATTTTGTTATAGGGCCTATAGTTTTGTGAAAGTAACAGTATGTTTTTGTTTTTTTAGCAAATGAAGAGTTAAGAAATTTTTTAGCTCAATCTAAAGATGGAAGTATCAGATTGATCAAAATTGCTATTGAGAATGGTAAGTAGTTTTTTTATAGCAGGGTAAAATAAACAGAATTTTGAACTAGTGTTGTGTGAACAGTATTGTTTTCTATTTTTGCCATATTTAAATTGCCCTGAATTATCTTTTATTGTCATATATAAATATTTTCAGAGCAACTATCATATGCTGCATCCAAAGAGCCAAAACATTCATGGGAGAGTGATATCCTTTTGCATACAATATTTTGCTTTATTTCAAATTTCTAAGAAATGCTACATTGAAACAACAAAACTTTGATATTTTTCATTATTCTTTTAGTCTTTGATATCTTTTAAAATGTAAATGTTGTGTTTTAAAAGTAAATATTGTGTTATACCAAATCTTAACTAGTTAACATTATGATGAAATGGTTCTTCCCCTTCTTGATGACAAACTGCCATGCTATATTCTCTATCGATTAGATACAAAAAATAGTATGGGATATGAGTGGTTGTTCATAGCATGGTCTCCAGACTTTGCTCCGGTAAGTTTAATATATCCTAATGTTGTTTTGTTCATATTCATCTCATGATATATGTTGAATCATATTGCTCTATGATCACTTGAAATGTCACAAATAAGTTCTCAGCAATCCACCTGTACCTTAACTTCCCTGTCCTCAGTACTTCCTTGTCACAGTAACTCACCTGTACCTTTACTTGTTTGTCACAGTAACTCATCTGTACCTTTACTTCCCTGTCCTCAGTAATCCACCTGTACCTCTACTTCCTTGTCACAGTAACTCACCTGTACCTCTACTTCCCTGTCACAGTAACTCACCTGTACCTCTACTTCCCTGTCACAGTAACTCACCTGTACCTCTACTTCCCTGTCACAGTAACTTACCTGTACCTCTACTTCCAGGTGAGACAAAAGATGTTATACGCTGCCACTAGAGCCACCATGAAGTCTGAGTTTGGGGGAGGTCAGATAAAGGATGAGTTGTTCGGCACTGTACAGGTAATCTTGTGCTACTATGCTAAATGCTATCCTAAGATTCAGCTGTTCCTGTCCAACAAATAGATTTTTTTTCACAGTGTTATTTTTAGTCTTCAGATTTTGAGACTTAAAATAATAATTACAATCCTATACAAAGTAACATAAAATGTTACAATGTTGCTTGATTCTTAGAGTGATGATACATTGTTGTATTTTTATTACTTTGAGTGATGTTACATTGTAGCATTTTTGTTATTTGGAGTAATGCTACATTGTTGTATTTTAGTCAGGAATGTTACATAGTTGTATTTTTGTTCTATAGAGTGATGTTACACTACGCGGCTACCATAAACATGTCCAAGCACAGCTTGCTCCAGCCCCACTCACCATGGCAGAGGAGGAGCTGCTGTACATAAAACAGAATGAGGTAAGAATTCATGGTGTTCCTTTCAGGTGATTTTCTCCTGTTACAAGCCTTTATTTAACTTATATATTGTCCATACTTTTGTCATCATGAGTTGTAATTTTTTGTACATATTTTTGTTGTTCAATATAAACAAGCAGTCAGATTGTTCATACTATGGTTTATGATTAGATTCTTTCCCTTGAATATGTAGGTACTGTTGAATTGACTAGGTTATTTCCCTTGGGCGCTGTGCTATTGTTCTTCATAAAAATTGTGTTATTGTTTACAACTTATTTTAGTTTCAGGCTAGCTATATGGCTATATCATATGATTAAATATTTTACAAGCAATTAAGAATAATCATTATAGCCTAGTTAATATTTTACACTTTCCACTGTTATGAAGGGAATGTCAATTAAAATGTGACTAATTTTTTTAGCGAGAAGCTGCAATGTCCATGGTAAGATACAATGGCTGATTGTGACTGACATCTTCCGTTGTTCACTTTCAAATGGTCTCGTCTGTTCTTAAAGCAATCTTAACTCATAGATAACCCAAGCTAGTGTTCTGTTGTGCCTGAACAAATGTTTTTTCTACCTTTGTTCATCGAGTGTCTCTTGTATTTTTAAAAAAATGTTTGATCACAGAGATTCTACTTTGATCTACAACAAGTTTTTTTTTTTTTTTTTTCGAAGATCTGTCTAAAGGTGGATGGAAGGATATAATAATAATGTTAGCATACAATGACCAATAAAACATGACCAATTAAGTTTTTGTATAGGAAGAATAGCATTGTTTAATTACCTTTTGTTAACCTGGATTGGAAGATAGGGGGCTATGTTCTTTTTAAAATGACTCTTGTTTTTATTATGAAATAATGGCTATTCTTCTAGCTAATGAAACATTTTCTTAACTGTTATATTATAGTCATGAATTCCTGCCAAACAAATTTAAAACTTGCATCTTGTGTATTAATCTGCAAGTCTCTGATATTAAAAGACTTACCTAGTGAATTTATAATTTTGGTCCTGATTGTTTTAATAAGACAAAATTAATTAACCCAGTAGTACTAATGTTTTTAGTTTTGGCAATGTTGTGGGTTGCTGCTGTATGACTTTTGTTTGAACACTGTATACTTAGTTGTGAAAACTATGTTTTAGCGTAGTCACCATACTAGTGATATACTTACTGTGATAAGTTATTTATGTACACTACGGTGCATAGTAGGACATGAAATGAATAGTGCTGTTATTTTCTCTAAATCTATAACACTGCTCTTAATTAGTTTTGGCTTGCTATTTTTGTGACCAAAAATTGTTTTGCTTAAACTTTTATTGAATCACCATTGTTTACTTTTATTATAGTTAAAATACTTGATGTGCTATTTAATAGCCAATTGTAGTTCAATTTTTAACAATATTTTTTATCTACAGCCCTGTACAATATAAACTGCAGATAATGAATTAGTGTTGTAATTTGTGTTCTTTCAGGTGAATGCTCACATTAATGTAGATACCAAATCTCAAACTATGCAAGGGGTGGGGTTCCCTCTGACACCAGACGCAGAAAGAGCCGTGTTGTCATTTAGGGATGGAGCTGTGAACTATGTACAGCTGGTAGGTGGTGTTTGTTTCACATATTAGGGGGCTTTGGTGGGTGGTTGTTTCACTCAACTGGGGCTTTTTGTGGGTGGTTGTTTCACACATTAGGGGGCTTTGGTGGGTGTTTGTTTCACACATTAGGGGGCTTTGGTGGGTGTTTGTTTCACACATTAGGGGGCTTTGGTGGGTGTTTGTTTCACACATTAGGGGGCTTTGGTGGGTGTTTGTTTCACTCAACTGGGGCTTTGGTGGGTGTTTGTTTCACACATTAGGGGGCTTTGGTGGGTGTTTGTTTCACACATTAGGGGGCTTTGGTGAGTGTTTGTTTCACTCATTAGGGGGCTTTGGTGGGTGGTTGTTTTACTCATTAGGGGGTTTTGGTAGGTGGTTGTTTCACTCAACTGGGGCTTTGGTGGGTGTTTGTTTCATACATTAGGGGGTTTTGGTGGGTGGTTGTTTCACACATTAGGGGGCTTTGGTGGGTGGTTCTTTCACTCATTAGAGGGCTTTGGTGGGTGGTTGTTTCACACATTAGGGGGCTTTGGTGGGTGGTTCTTTCACTCATTAGAGGGCTTTGGTGGGTGTTTGTTTCATACATTAGGGGGTTTTGGTGGGTGGTTGTTTCACACATTAGGGGGCTTTGGTGGGTGGTTGTTTACACATTAGGGGGCTTTGGTGGGTGGTTCTTTCACTCATTAGTGGGCTTTGGTGGATGAAATAACTGTGGGCTTTGTTTGGACAAGATAAGTCGTAGCTATGGGGCATGTGTCACACAATAGAGAGCTATGGTGAATCGTTTCAGACTATTCGGGAATTTGGTGGATAGTTGTAACAGTTGAGTTGGCCTGTTGTCTTGGTAGGTGGTCTACATGTCCTCTGGTTCTATTCATACTACTCACTCAATGTTGCATGTTTTTTTTATCCCCCTTTGTTTAGTGTTTGAACCTGGAGAAAGAGTTGATTGAGGTGGCTGAGACAGACAACATCAGGGTCAGCCAGTTGATCTCTCATGTACCCACAGAGAGTGCTAGATACCATCTTTTTAATTTTAGCCACACCCACGAGGGGGACTCTATGGAAAGTGTTGGTGAGCTTAATCATGCCATTCTTACTCACACATTCTCCCTATTATTTTACCAAGTGAGTTCAATGAGTGCTCTCACCAGATTGAAACGATAAACTAATGTGAACCTTGTTTTCTCAGTGTTCATCTACTCCATGCCTGGCTACAAGTGTTCCATCAAGGAGAGAATGTTGTACTCAAGTTGCAAGTCACCTTTAGTCAGTCAACTGGCATCTATTGGTATACAGATTGAGAAGAAGGTATTCTCAAAGTGTTAGAAATTTTACTAGATTTTACATATATATTTTTTTTTAATTTTAATTCTGTTTTTAACAATCATCTACAGGTGTAGACTGCATTTTTTTTCATCATTTTTCAACTTTTTTTAACATGGTTATTTCTTTTCTTCAGCTTGAAATTGATGACCCAACGGAATTAAATGAAGAATATATTTATGACGAGATCCATCCAAAAAAGAACGCAGCTCGCAGAGCCTTTGACAAGCCTAAAGGCCCAGCGGGAAGGGGCCCAAAGAGGATGACACGACCCACAGAATAGACGCCTCCCTTTCACTGTCCTGTTATGTTTCATATATCTTCAATACAACTAACAATACCCATAGGAAAGCTTGAGGCCTATCTGTTATTACTTTTAGATGTGATATAAATTTATAAAACAAATTGAATGTAAATAGACAGGTTTGCCTCACTATTTTAACGTCCTTACTGTGTCAGCTAGTTGTGGTAGGTAACTGTTGAGAAGTATTCTGTTATTTCTATGTTAGGCTGTTATAACTTGACCCACTCTGAAAACTAGAGTAGGTGTATCCAACCTTAGAGGTGGTCAGTGTCTGGTCCAAAGTGCAATAGAAAAAAAGTTGTTACAGTTAAAAATGGCATAAGATCTCCAACATAAATAATGATAAATGCTGTTGTATTGGCAAAATATTTCTAAGCATAACGTTGACAGAGTTTGTGTACCTGAGAGCAGGTATGACGATTGGCTAGGCCCTCTTGTCTGTCAGTTATTCTAAACCAACTCCGCCTTTCTGCTTTTCTTTATTCATTTCCTTCTTCAGGGTTTAACTGGCTTGCTGTTCTTGTGTAAATAAAGTTAATAATTTATGCTTTAGTCTCATTATTTTAAGCTCTTACTTTTAAAGTTTTCTTTCCTTCCATTTAACTGGTCATGTTAGTGACTTAGTAGTCTTAACTTTTATAGCTGCAAGGGGTTTTCTGGGTGTTAATCCCCTTTCATTTAAGTCTACATTTTCATGTCGTTCTAATAAATCTTATGTTATAAATTTCGTCACGTTTTAAAAGATTTCATCGAACAAAAATCAGAATGTTTTAATTTGATTCAACTCTGGACGACAGCTACAGTATTAATAGCCATTAGACTTTAATCCATGTTATTTTTTGTTTTTTTAACTAATTTTTCCTTGTTTAATTTCTATGTTAACTGTCATTTCCTACAAGTGTTTTGCCCTTTGTGCACACAAACATACATACGTGATGTTGTTGCTATGAATATGTAATTACTTCAATTCAGATTAAACTTCCCAGATAGACATAAGCTGTAGTATGTGATAAATACACCATTCCAGTTATTTCCCTTCTTACCAGCAGGTGGATTTATTTTTAAAGCAACGTTATAAAAGCTTTACTGTAATTAAAAACAAAAATCTCTGCATTAGACATTCTTGTTTTGTGATTTTTTTTTTCACCATGAAAACCTCAGTGTACGAAAACATCTTGACCGTTGACATAATAACCCTAATTTAAATGCTACTAATTCAAATGTTGCTGATCCACCTGTGTTCAAGTTAACTAAAATTTTAGGAAACCTTAGGATATCTTGTGTTGTGGATTTGATAACCTAAAATTTGTATTAACCCTTTCAGGGCTGTCTTGTTTATATGTTTAAATACAACAATTCAAAACCTCTTGAAATCTAGCCGACTTGTAATGCGCAGTAACTGAATGACATACTTTGTGTTCTGCTTGTTTTGATTTTCCCCTATTTTCTTGTGCCCAACTTGTTTTTGCTAGAGACTGACTTACACAGACAGTTACTGATTTTTTAAATCTGTCATTTCAACATTCATTAGTTGAACTGTGGTGTTCCTGATGATTTTGCTGTGAAAGTTCTCTATCAACAGGACATTTCATCTTAACTTTCAAGTCTTAGGATTTAAACAAAACAATTTTTAGAAATATTTTTTAAAAAACTATTTTATGAGAATTATATTAAGTACTTTTTATACCATGTTGAACACTATTTACACATATTTTACTATTGTTTGAGATATAAGATTTTGAGATAGCCTTTAAACATAAAAGCCTCCGAATATGTTTGTGTTCACTTTTTTTATCTAAACACCTTGACTATGTGCATTCTGCTCAATGCTAAAGTAAAATTTTTGTTCACTTGTTGTCAAATATATATGTAGATACAATAACAAATAATGAGTTATCAAAACCAAATTAAAAGAGAAAATAATGAAATCTGAATTTCATCTTGATTTTTATTTAAATAAATGTAAAATATATTTCAAATGTTGGCCATATTATCTGTGAGGCTTAAATAATGGTATCATTAAAGTTTGATAAACTACAAAGTAAAAACTAATTTATGCACTAATAAAATCAACAATTTCTATTTACAAATCAACATTGTTAACTAACAAATTAGCATTAATACAACAGTAGTAAAAAAGATTATGAATATCCAGAGCATCATTAAAATGATTGAGAATTGTGTATATATTATTTTTCTATTTGAAAGAAAATAAAAGTAATGCTAAAACATGAACCAAAAATAAAACAAAATAATTACAGAGAAATCACAAATCAAACTGAAGTGAAAGTATGGTAGCTCATTTGCCAGCACCGGAGTTCTATTAGAAGACTAATAAAAAGTTAACAAGAGAAAAAAATTGTTTTAACAATACATTCTGTGAGATTTATACCTAGCTGTAGATTATTATAGACACTAAAATGATTACTTTAAAAACTCTTGAGCAGCATTTAATAATAAACTGCATAAGATTCATTGAAACAACAGACCTACTAGTTAAAAAAAAAATGATTATGGTAATTAAAATTAGATAGATACAAAGTATCTGCTGAAACAAAGGTCCATGCATGTAATACACTAAAAAAAACTAAATTGATGTATTACTTACAACAGACTTACTATGAGGGTATTATTATCTACAGTGTGAAGAGTAATATTGAACCTATAGTAAAAAGCACAATGGAAGCCCATTAGATGATGTAAGAATTAATGCTTATTACAAACTGAAAACATGATGCTGAAAGACAGGTGAATCAAGCTTGGCTAACTTTGAATCAAACAAAGACTTGGAGCTACCTCCTGTTGACAATGAGGAGTAATGAAGGAAGAAACTGTAGAACATAAAGTTCAAAGTGAACCAATAATTCCATCACTAGAGGTTAGGCTGGTTACCCTAGAAAGAAACGGATACCTGATTTGTTTTCTAAGATCTGAAAAACAAGTCTAACTTTAATTATCACATAAAATTCTAGATAGAATAGCAGTATAAAATAACACAATCCATACACAAATTATTTTATGGTTAACTATTGTAAAATTGTTCTTTATACAACTTGATAACTAGCTCAAAATGTTACAGTAACTTAACTTTTTCGGCTGTGTATGTCATCTTAAGTTAGCAAGTGACCCATGAAGTATTTTAATGAGGTTTTTTTTTTTTGCCTCAGCAGGCCATGGACTGATGTTAACAAAGTGAAGCTCAACACACACCTCTGTGCATCTTTTGATACTACCTGTAATTTATTTCTGAAGCATCTACTAAAAACTAAACCATCTTAAAATTCTATTTTAAAAAAATTCTATTTACTACTTGAGCCCAGTTTGTACCATGAACTGAGCTGAGAACCAGAGGCTTAGTATGTCAAGAGCATGGGAGTAAATGCTGTACATATTTATTATATTACATGTTAAAAATTGACTACTGAACTCTCTTGATATTAAATTTAGCACAAATAAAATCAATTCAAAAATACATTCAAACACATTGTATACTGGTTAAAAAAAAATTGTGTAAATTTTTAAAATGCTTTTGTTACAAATTTTAAAAGTTTGATCATGAGTAAAACAAAGTTTTGATCTCATCTCCAATAGAAGATGTCAGAACAAGTGAACCTATTTTTTAGTGTACCATCACATCTATTGCATAAAGCCACCCTAATAAACAAATTGTAACTACAATTTTTTAAGCTACAAGCTGAAGCAAAATTTGTTTTAACAAAATCAATTTTTTATTGTAAAATTGTTAAGAAAAATCTAAATAAAATGTTCATGCTGCTAAAAATGTAAACATTACCGACAGTGTTGTGCCCTATTTAACAGCCTAGGTACAGCAGATATGGGTGCAATGTACACTGAATAAGAAAATATTTTGATTCACATTAGCTGCTTGTAAAAAAAGTTTAACAGTCAATAAAAAAATATTTACACTTCTCAAATATCTGACATTCAAGTTAAAAAGCAGAAATTTCCACATAGTTGTTGACCTTTGTATGTAAACAAACAAATTGAAATGTAATATATTTTGGTCTTGTCACTTGTTGCATATAAATGTTACAATAGAGGATTGATTGAGCTGTTGGAAATGTGTTCGATACAAAAACTAATTTCAACAAAAATTGTGCAAGTTAAATTTTGAAAAAAATTCATTAATTTGGTTAGTTGGTCCAGGATGAAAATTTGTAAAAAATAATATACATTTTCTGACCAAATAACACTGCAATAACAAATTAACTTGATTCTGTTTGATGTCTTTGTTTTGTTCAGCGTTGAAAACTTGTGAGTTGCAAGGTTATCACAGGTGCAGACAGATCAAAGCTGTGTGTTGTGTGTAGTGCTTGGAGGTTTTCTTGAAGGTAGTGGGGGTGGTGGTCCATTTGGCAGTGAACTGTGAGCCTCTTCCGCAATAATTGGTATTGGCGGAGGTGGCACTTGTCTTGACGGTGACGGTGTTGTGATGGCTGGTGGAGGGGCTTTTGTGGTGATGAACTGTGGCGGGGGTTTGGGGGAGATGAGCTGTGGAGGGGGGTCCATGGCTGACATGATATGTGTACTCCTAGAGCCGGCGTGCTCAGCTATTGGAGGATGATGATGCTGATCCGTGCTTAAGTTGCTGACAGATGTGGACAGAGGTCCGTTTCTACTGAAGTTGTTGTAGCTACCAGTAGCTGAACTCGGCGCCCCTGGTGATATGGTCTGTCTTTTGTTGGGTATAGGGGGCGCTGCTGGTGATAGCAGAGTGCTACGTGATGTTGTTGGGGTGGTCGGCGCTTGAGTACGAGGTGGTATCGGGGGAACTGAGGAGTGTGAAGCTACTGGAGAAAGGGGTGTCGAGGTGCTGGGACTTGAAACCTTGTCAGGTTCTGAGATGCCAGAAATCTGAAGTGAGAAAAGGACATATGGTTTGTACAGTTGCAGCTACATCAGGTTACTACCAGTACTTTTGGGCATAATAGAAAGACTGCAATTACAGAATAACATTTACTATACAAGAATTGAAGTATATTTTTGTCCTAACATTCAATACAACATGGGATGAATGAGGAATTTTTAAAAATTTTAAGCTTTTAAAGCTGAATCAAATCTAAAACATAATGTATCAAATTCTAGGCTTGTTTTCCTTAAAATAAAAAAACTTTTCTCACCCTGCTTGGCTTTTCAGGTATAGGTGGGGGGTCTTGTTTATGTCTCATGGTTAAACCATTTTGATCTGTCCAGAAGTGAAATCAGACAAGGGATTTTTCTCAATATTGAGTTTACATGTAACCTTTCTCACACATCTTAGGTACTTTGTTTACAAATTTTAAATGTCTTACTTTTTTTTAAACTCATAATCTTCTGGTCATTACTGATTACCAAACAGACATTGTTTTAACTAATTAATATCATCTAATGAGAAATAATAGTAAATGGGCAATGATAAACATCTGCTGTGCTTTTTTAACCATCTACTGAATTATCAGTTACACAGATAATCATCTACTGAATTATTATCTATTCGAATATCATCTGCTTAATTATATATTACTCAAACAACCATTGACTGTGTCATCTATTACATATTCATAAATTGCAAAGATTATTCTCTAAAGTAAAAGTTGTGTGTTAACATTTTAAATCCACAGTATTTGCACAGTAATTTGGTCTCAGGTATAAAGTACTTTCTTTTTTTTGCACTAAAACGTCAACAAAAAAATGCATACCTGATGTGCTCATCTTTCTGGGAGTCAAGGGAGGGGGACATGGTGGGTCTATAATAGAAGAGAAAAATACTTCTTTATAGAGGGTGTAAAATGAGAAAAATTGATGCTTTAACAAATCTGGATGTTTTCACTGTTTATAATGATGGGAGTGGGTTTTAAATGTGAAAGCTAATTAATTAATTATGCAAGTCTAACTAAACTATTGTCCAATAATTAGGAGATTCTGCTAAACAATTCATTAGCCAAAAAAAATTCAGTCATGGTTACCTAAAAGTGAATTACTTGACTGACTGACAGTACTTGGCAAAGTTGGCTGAAGTAAAAAAAAAATCAATTTATAATACTTTCAAAATAAACAAAAATGTTTAGTAAATCAATAGCAGACTTTCCACAGTAAACCACAGGTTATTTTCTTTTACTATATGGCAATCTTTTTAATTTATTATTTTTTTATTTTCTGAAATAATAAACAAGATCATTACTAATAGTTTATACAAGATCATTACTAATAGTTAAATTTAAGTTATCATTTTGTGTAAAATTGATAATTGTAAAAAAAAAAAATCTTTTTGGAAGTAGTACAACAAAAAAAAGAAGGAAGTATTTTTACAATTTCATGCAAGGATTTTACAGCCCCAATTTGTTTTCCAAAACCACAGAAATTTAAAGTTAACAAAACAATTTTTTAACAACAATAACTTAAAATAAAAAACAAGTTTTTGACCCAGCTGAAACTTCTCAACGTTTAAAATGGGTGGGACCACTGCATGCCTGACAGCCATGGAAAAATTACTTTTACACAACAGAGATCTTATAACCATCACAGAAAAGAAAATGTAATGGTTGGCAGTCACCAAACTGACATGACAACATACAATTTCAAATTTTTTTTTCATGCATTCCCCGACAAGTGAAAAGACAAAAAAATGCAAAAGAATTAAAAATTACAATAAAGTCACAAAAAGTTTCATACAAAATATAAAAAAAGAATTAAAAAAAAAACACCAAAAAGAAATTGTTAGATGCAACAAGAAAAAAGTGGAACACCCGCGGCGTGCCGAACCTGGTGGTGATTGGAGGTGAGAACGGCAGAAAGTGGTCGAGGTGGCACAAATTTTGGGGGCGAGCTGGTTAGCCCAGCCACCCGTAAACTGCTAGTTCTTCGCTTATCAGGGCAAAGAGGTGGGGGTAGGTGAACATACTCCTTTTAATAATAAGCAAATAACAGATGAAAAAAAAATTAGAATAAACATAACAGAAAATTTATATTTTAAATTTTTTGTTGCTAGTGCTGTGTTATGGTTGAGTAGTATTGCAACTTGAGTTTATTTTGTGTGAGGATTTGTAAAAAAAAAATTGGAAATAATTGTTCAGCCATATTAATTTTGTAAAAATCCAAATGATTACCTCAGATGGTGGCTCTACGTAAAGGTCATCATCGTTACAGCTACTGTTGGATATGATGGAGGATCTGTTACTGGGGAAACATATGGATTGTTTTAAAACACAATTAATGCAAAGTTTGTGGGTTCACAGGAACTTTACATTTTACAATGGTTTGAAGCAAGTGCTTCAGTGATTGATTCAAGTTGATATTTTAATATGGATTGAAGGAAGTGCTTCAGTGATTGATTTAAGTTGATATTTTACAATGGTTTGATGAAAGGGCTTCAGTGATTGTTCGAGTTGATATATTACAATGGTTTGAAGCAAGTGCTTCAGTGATAGATTCAAATGTCAGCTCACCTTCCACTAGAGTTGAGTGAGGTGGAGCTTGGGGTGCTGGGGCGCTGGGTGGATGAGGTGGAGGAGATATTGCTGTTTCTCTGTTTGGACATTGAGCCCTGGGTGGACAGACACATTGGTTAATTACTTTATTAGGAATTTTTGGCATAATAGAGTAACTCTTTAATACAAGGAAAATAGATTGATAATTTTAACAAAGAGAAAAGTGAACAATAGTATGTACATGATCAATTAAATCTAAATGTTTTAAGCAAACAGCCCACCTGATAGCCCATACTGTTCTTCATTTTGATAAACATGTCCACCAGACTTTTGTACAGTGGGAGCATCTCAGGGCTGGCGTACTTCCCGTAAATGGACAAGCCTCTTTCAAGCAGCTCCAGCTAATGGACAAGAGAGCAATTATTTATAACTTATATAAATAGAATTTTGTTGAGATAACAGTGAGTTCTAGTTCTATCCATCTTAAATAGTTCATAGAAGAAAGTGTGAGATATCAGCTACCTAATATAATTAGATATTGTTTTATGATTTTATTGCAAACAGTAAAAAAATGTAGGAATTTATTTGAAAATTATTTAAAATTAAAAATGACTGCTTTAGTAACAAAATGTAGGCAGACTCCTCCTAAATTTTACTTGTACATCAGTTTCACCCAGCTCACCTGTTCTCCTATGTGACGTTTCAGCTCTTCTACATAAGTTGCTTCGTTGGGATACTTGGCCAAGTAATCCTCTTTGAAGAATGCCTGAAAATTATTTTAAAAATAAAAACTTTATAGTTGATGGAAGTTAAAATGGTGTCTAACAGTGAATATAATAATATACAATACCCTTTTTGGCAAAATATTAAAACAGAAATTAATTTATAATTTTGTGGTCTCTACAAATTACAAATGTTAGTTATGAAAAAACTCACAGAAAAAATAATTAACTATGAAGGGTTGTACAGACCTCTTGGTATTTGGGGATTCCCCCATTGACCGCCCCACTGATATAATTAACTATGATGGGTTGTACAGACCTCTTGGTATTTGGGAATTCCCCCATTGACCGCCCCACTGATGACTCCCTGCAGCCTCATGGTCAAGTGGCTCAAGAACTGGTCAGGGTTCTTCAGTGCGTTGTCAATGCTGGACTTCAGCTCAGCATTCATCTGCTGGACTGTCAGCTGGGCAGTCTGGACTGGACAGAAGTGGACAACGGTGGTGCTGGTCACCTCGTACCACCTCAGGATTCCAGGCAGCTTGTAGGAACTCTTCATGATGGTTCTCTCCAGGCATAGACTCTGGGAACCATTTTCAAACAAAGTTTAGCAAGGTTATACATTCACAATAGATAACTTCTAATTCAAGTTTGTCTTTGTTACAAAAAAAAAAACCTGACGTAACAAATACAAAACATTCTATAGGCCTAACATTTGTAATTTCATCACAAATCTCCACCAAACAAAAATATATTCAAAAGCAGCATATATAAAACTATTTTTTTATACTGCCTCGCCCATTAAACTAATATAGGCCTACAGCCTACTTGTTATTTTCTTCTAATTACAAAGTATTTATAACGCAATTTGTAAAAATTTAAATAAATATCCTGTTTTATAGTGTATGATCACAACAACTTAAAAAATATTCATCCAAAAACAATTTTAGCAATATTTTATTTATTTATTTCAAACCATGTGAAATTTTTGCTAACTGTTTAACCACACAATTTTTGTTTACAAGTTTCTAAACACAATCTTTTTGTACCTTAAATTCATTATTTTTGTCTTTATCATCCCTGTGGTAGGGCCGGTCAAACTGGAATGTGTCCACCTCATTAGTGTTGTAGAAAGATGAAATCTCTACAGGCACTTCCTTTCCCTGGAACTCTGGTCTCTCTGATGGTACGGGCTTCACATTGACCAACTGAATGTCTGGCACACAAGAAAATTTTAATTAAATTTTTACAGCATTAAAATGTTTTCAAATGCAAAATAAAATTTCTTTAACATTACTTTATTGTTTTACAGTTGATTTTAACAAGTTTTAAATTTAAATACACAACCAGGTCACAATGAAACTAAAACAAAAATTTTAAAATATTTTTAATGTGTTTTTGTGTTTATTTTCTTTGTTAACTTTTTCAGGAATTTACTGTCTAAAATCCAAAAGTGTTTTAGTGTATTCATTTTAAAAAAAAAAAAAAAAATAAGAAAATTGAGTAATCTCAATAATTATTTTAAGTTATTTCCCCTCTTACATTGGTTGTCTCCCTGTTTACAAGATTCATCAATGGGTGAGTTAGTGGTCAGAATGGAAGCATTAGGATACTCTCTAGTCAGCTGACTCATAATGGTGGCTAGTCTGAGGCATTCATCTCCTCTGTAAATAAAAGCCTTGTTCTGAAAAAAAAAACATGAGCATGTTCGGATAAAAACAGGCTTAAAAATTTTAATGTCTGCTGAATCTGAAAAATTTAAAAATCCAAATTCTTTTAAACTTGAAAGGGGATAAAAAGTAGTCTCTTTAAATTAAATAAAACTGTATTTAAAAATTTAGGTATTGATATCTAAGCCCATAACCCTAACAAACTGGTAATGTGAAGCCATTATTGATAGGGTAGGAGTTGACTAACGTAGGACAACAAACTAGATTTGACAATGTAAACACTCTGGAATCAAACCCATCTAAGAAAGGCTTTAAATTTTAAAGGTAAGCTTTAATGGCCAAAATAAAATCCATTAGTTTCAATATTTCTCCGTAAATCACCAACTTGTATAAAAAATATACAACAATATCCAACATAAACTTTCTTTATCAGTCTTAGTGCAGCTATTTTATACCGATAAAAAGATGTGCATCAAAGTAATGAAAATCTTACCTTCAGGTAGGGAGGAAATGTGTTGCCATAATAAGCCACCCTGTAATAAGATGGGTCTTGACGCAAATTCATGCCTTCCAAAATTTTTGAAAAAAAACTTGCTTGAAGTTGCTGAAAAAAAAACATTCACATTCAACCTCAAATAGGCCAATTTTTTTTCAATGGGATACAATATGGCAACAAACATACTGAGGGTTTTAGTCCAAAGCAAAAAAAAAATTACTGACCAGAGTTTCTCCCAATTTTTTATACTGGAAGGTCTTTTCATAATGATCTGCTAATTCCTTACAAAGAGGAATGCCATACTCCCAGGCCTAAAAAAAAAATATAAAAAAAAAACAGATAATCATTTTGTTAAAGGCCAATTTAAATGTTAAAATATTAGACTTAAAGAGCACAAAATTTTAAGAAGACTTCTTTGTTCAAACTTAAAAAGAGTGATAAATTTATTATATTTTTATAATTAATTATGTTGTGTCTGACAAAATATTAAATCAGATAACTCAGCCTGGAAAAAAAAAAACGCTGGCTAAAATCCAATGTCAAGTTAACTTTGGTTTGAGCAGACACCAATGTTTTATAAGTGATGACCACAGGTCAACATCCTATGTTAAAATACTAAGCCAGCTATCAGATGTTACCATAATTAAAGAAGGTAAAACCAAAGGAATTTAAAAAGCAAGTAACTAACCTTTCCCTTATCGAAGCAGTCCATGATGCGTTTGACTAGTTCCTCCTTCCTCTCCGCCTCCGTCTCAGATGGGTAGCTCATCTCTGCGGGCAGCTTGTGGTCAGACCAGGACAAGAGCTGGGCGTAGAGCCTGAGGGTCAGGCCAGCCTCCACAAAGTTGTTGGCCGTGTAGTGCAGCTCAGACAACCTGGAGATGTACCTGATGTACATGTCTCGTCTGCTGTCCTTGTAGAAGTTCTGCAACAGCCAATCAATGCTAATTAATTAGAATCAATCAATCATAGTTTTCCATAATCTAGTTTACCAATCACATTATACCTTAATTCATGTAGTAACAACAATAAAAATGTGTGTTAAAAATTGAAATGTGTATTTATTGTTTTAAAACATTTTGTAAGAATTGCCATTATATAACACAAAATATCAAATGTGATCTGTGTGGTGATTATGAGATTAGTGTGGTGATCATGTGATTAGTGTGGTGATTACGTGATTAGTGTGGCATGTATGGAATGAAAGTGGCATCAGGTTTAAACAACTGAAAGATAAGCTTCAGACTGTCCAAAGTTTAAAAAAAAACTTGGTTGATAAATCCAGGCTATAAATAAAGGTTCTAGTTAACAGACACCACCATTATTCTTCCAAAAACAAGCCAGGTAGCTTCCAGACAGCTGATATCAGAAACACTAAACAGAAGGTTTTTTTGGGATCGTGCCATCAGGTAGGTGAATACCTGACACACCTGGGGTTTGTGGTTTATGGGCCATCGTGTGGTCAAATAATCTTCAGCCAAAGAAACTATAGGTGTTTTTTTTAATTGTCAAATAGTTTCTACCCAAGAATCAACCATTTTTTTTAACAGTTGTAAAATGTTTAAATAAATAAAATCATTAAAAGTCAGGTAGAAGAAACAGTGATGTGGAATTTGTAATAAACTGAATTTAGATAACTTTTTAAATCAGTTCAATGATGACCTCAAATTATTTGTTGTGATATTTTTAAAAAAACAGTAATCAGCTTTTACTAGGAATTAAGATATACATAGTGAAAAAGTGTGGCCGAATCCTTGCTTATTTCCCTTGAGCGCCAACCGTACAGGTAGTGCGTTCATCAACCAAACCCTAGCAACAGGAACAGCAACTCCCAACTACTTATCTCCCTTGGGCAGGAAACGCCAGCCCATTTGTGTCATATTACGGTTAATATTCCTGTCTTTATTCATGGAGGGTCAGAGCTTTCACCACCACAAGGTACAGACCAGAGAAAGATGCGCTACACGTCTGCAAGATCTGTTGACTAAAGACTGGTTGGCCCTGTACTTAACGCCACACTTTACTAATGTATAGGCTATTTAAAAAATCACAATAGAGAAAAGAATTGATTTTTTTAATGTTTAATTTTGACATTTAAAAAAAAAAAAATAATAAAATGATGAAGGGTTTAACACCAGGGTTTTAGCCCAGTTGTTTTTTTTATTCGCATTGTCACCCGGTCATATGTGTGCATCGATCTTCAGCTTGCAACTCATGCGATATACTCGATTGTAAAATCACTCATTTTTACATGTCCACAAAGCCTTTCAAACTTACATTAACTGCTCAAAATTTCGTTGCTGACATTTTTAATTTTTTTATTTAGGCTTACATCACACTCACATTACCAGTTAAAGCTCTTACACCTTGGCTCACTACTAAAAACGGCTCTATAAAAAATGTCATGATCCGTTACAATAACGGCGTTCTATCTTGTTTTATGTTGGTGTCTACCACCCAGCAGGTATCAAAGCGTGCTGCAGACCTATGTTTAAGCTAGAACTACTGGCATATAATGTTATGCCTGTGTAGGACAAGAGCTGTACGAGTGCGGGTTTTGATAGCTTTATGACTGAGAGCACATTAAATTATGACCTTTGGTAATATGAACTTTGCCGCGCAGCCCGGGTTCTATCAACCTTGACCTTCGCCGTGAGTTTTTTTTCCTCGGTTCATTCAACAGGTTAGTGGCAGCGAGATGGGGAGATAAATAAGCCGCGGTCAGTGGACCACGCCGTCTTTTAGTGGACCGGAGGACCCACCACTGGACCACAGTATCCACCACTAGACCACGGCATCCGCTGGACCATAGCATCCACAAGTAATCTGCATGTGGTCGCAGATATGTTTTAATGGGCCGATTTGTCCACACATCCCACATCTACGTGACAAGATTAGATGTCGGTATCCTCCACCAACTCAAACTCAACTACTTTATAACAACACTCTTGGTTTTACGACTTCTTCGACTTGACGGTGTTTGACACAATACAACCCACAGTTATGGTAGCCTACTTCTGGACAACCATTCTTTATTATGACAACCACACACAGAGTATTCTCTCCCTCCCCCGCCCCACCCACCCAGGCTCCGTGAGGGAGGGAAGTCCCACGCCCAGGTCGGAAATTCCCCAACATGCACCAGATGAGAAACATTGCCTTGTTTTACGGCTTTTGGAAGTTTCGTTTAGTCAGGCTCCTATAGATGGTGTTAGTTCGTCTGGGTGGTGTTGGTTTGTAAGAGTGGTGTTGGTTCGTTAAAGTGGTGTTGGTTCGTGTTGGTGGTGTTGGTTCGTGTTGGTGGTGTTGGTTTGTCAGAGTGGTGTTGGTTCGTGTTGGTGGTGTTGGTTCGTCAAAGTGGTGTTGGTTCGTCAGAGTGGTGTTGGTTTGTCAGAGTGGTGTTGGTTTGTAAGAGTGGTGTTGGTTTGTAAGAGTGGTGTTGGTTCGTCAGAGTGGTGTTGGTTTGTCAGAGTGGTGTTGGTTTGTTAAAGCGATGTTGGTTTGTTAAAGTGGTGTTGGTTCGTCAGAGTGGTGTTGGTTCGTCTTGGTGGTGTTGGTTCGTCAGAGTGGTGTTGGTTTGTCAGAGTGGTGTTGGTTCGTGTTGGTGGTGTTGGTTCGTCAAAGTGGTGTTTGTTCGACAGAGTGGTGTTGGTTTGTCAGAGTGGTGTTGGTTTGTAAGAGTGGTGTTGGTTTGTAAGAGTGGTGTTGGTTTGTAAGAGTGGTGTTGGTTCGTCAGAGTGGTGTTGGTTTGTCAGAGTGGTGTTGGTTTGTCAAAGCGGTGTTGGTTCGTCAGGATGGTGTTGGTTCGTCAAAGCGGTGTTGGTTCGTCTTGATGGCGTTGGTTCGTTTTGGTGGTGTTGGTTCGTTTTGGTGGTGTTGTTGGTTCGTCAGGGTGGTGTTGGTTCGTTTGGTTGATGTTGGTGGCGTTGGTTCGTTTTGTCATGATGGATATAACTTTCCACTCTAAAGAATCTAAGTGTGTGTGTGCTGTGTTTGTGTGTGTGTGTGTTTGTGTGGGTGGTAAATCTGTCATCAATTTTTAAAGCAACTGATCCACAGTCTGACAAATGGATTAGTCTGCCGCCAGAGCTCGCCTACAATGTCAGCTGACCCGACCACAAACTGTGATTGGGTGCCGAGGCTGGAGCAGGGATTCCAGCAAAAAGCTTTCAGAGGTCCGGATAATTTCTAGTCAAAATAAAGTAGTCAACTGATGACAAGATAACGGCCTTCATTGTGGGCGGCCGTGACCTTTTGGTACAACAAGGTCAGGTTGCAGGAGAGTCGGGTTTCAAAGTCTCCACTGCAGCGGACACATAAACAAAGGGGAGGGCGGGGCAAATGTTACAACTTGTGGCGGGGGGGGGGGGGTCAAAAGTTACAACTTGTGGCAGAAAAGATACAAATTGTGGCGGGGACGGGGGGTCAAAAGTTACAATTTGTGGCGGGGGAGGGGGGTGTCAAAAAGTTATAACTTGTGGCGGGGGGGGGGGGGGGGGCAAAAGTAACAACTTGGTGGTCAAGTTACTGAGGGTAGGCATGCCAAGTGGGGATCAAATTAACATTTGTCACGGCAATTGTTACAAAATATGATCAGTGCCTGGTATCCACAAACCCAAATTACGCCAAACACACTATCAAATCCACCTCCGCGAATTGCTTTTAAAATGCCCGGCTATAAGATTAAAAAAAAAACAATCGTAAAAATAATTGTTTTAATAGCTCAATAATTAATGAAACAAAAATGTGTTTCCTTCTTTAATGAGGCGAATGCGTTCTTAAAACAGCATCTTGCCGGCCATCTATCCAGCCGGCCATCTATCCAGCGGGCCATCTATCCAGCCGGCCATCTATCCAGCCGGCCATCTATCCAGCCGGCCATCTATCCAGCGTCTTGCCGGCCATCTATCCAGCCGGCCATCTATCCAGCGTCTTGCCGGCCATCTATCCAGCCGGCCGTCTATCCAGCATTCCTTAGGCCCGCCTGTGCCAGTGAAAGATTTCTGCTTAATTTACTCGAGATATAAGCAAGACATCACGTGTGCTTGGGTTTCAGGAAGTGACGCAGGCGTCAAGTGGGCGTGGTTAAACACATTTATCTCCCTATATTTAACCTAGCTTATGGAACTGTCTCCCCTTTATTTTTGTTATATTAAACAGACAGGCTTTGTGTGATCAAAGTTCTTTCACCCTGATAACCACCCATTAGGTAATGAAATTTTTAAAAATATATTGTTGAAATAGGTTACCAATAAGTGATGGCCAGGTAAATTAATAAAAATGTTGCCAAACGGATTCCCCCCCCCCCCCCCGATTAAAGCCTGGTAGTTGATATGCCTACTACTGTAAGCAAATGAAGTTTGCATCAAATTGATGTGTAGATTCACATATGCAAATTCACAGGTGTAAATGGATACACCTTAACGGCAAATGCGTTTTATTTTACAGTTCAAATAAAATCATCGATTATCCTGCATAAGTAATTGAGAGAGTATGGTGAGAGGGTGACAGATGAGAGAGTACGGTGAGAGGGTGACAAAGGAGAGAGTACGGTGAGAGGGTGACAAAGGAGAGAGTAAGGTGAGAGGGTGACAGAGGAGAGAGTACGGTGAGAGGGTGACAAAGGAGAGAGTAAGGTGAGAGGGTGACAGAGGAGAGAGTACGGTGAGAGGGTGACAAAGGAGAGAGTACGGTGAGAGGGTGACAAAGGAGAGAGTACGGTGAGAGGGTGACAAAGGAGAGAGTACGGTGAGAGGATGACACAGGAGAGAGTACGGTGAGAGGATGACAGATGAGAGAGTATGGTGAGTGAAGGAAGTGAGTAGAGAGTACGATGAGAGGGTGACAAAGGAGAGAGTATGGTGAGAGGGTGACAGAGGAGAGAGTATGGTGAGAGGGTGACAAAGGAGAGAGTACGGTGAGAGGGTGACAAAGGAGAGAGTACAGTGAGAGGGTGACATAGGAGAGAGTACGGTGAGAGGGTGACAAAGGAGAGAGTACGGTGAGAGGGTGACAAAGGAGAGAGTACGGTGAGAGGGTGACAGATGAGAGAGTACGGTGAGAGAGTGACAGATGAGAGAGTACGGTGAGAGAGTGACAGAGGAGAGAGTAAGGTGAGAGGGTGACAGATGAGAGAGTACGGTGAGAGAGTGACAGATGAGAGAGTACGGTGAGAGAGCGACAGATGAGAGAGTACGGTGAGAGAGTGACAGATGAGAGAGTACGGTGAGAGAGTGACAGAGGAGAGAGTACGGTGAGAGAGTGACAGAGGAGAGAGTAAGGTGAGAGGGTGACAGATGAGAGAGTACGGTGAGAGAGTGACAGATGAGAGAGTACGGTGAGTGAAGGAAGTGAGTAGAGAGTACGGTGAGAGTGTGACAAAGGAGAGAGTACGGTGAGAGGGTGACAAAGGAGAGAGTACGGTGAGAGGGTGACAAAGGAGAGAGTACGGTGAGAGGGTGACAAAGGAGAGAGTACGGTGAGAGGGTGACAGAGGAGAAAGAGAGTAGAGAGAACTGTGGGAAGATGAGAAAGGAAGATTAGACTAAAGAGTGCGGTGAGCAAAAGATGAGTTAGATCAGACAGACCCTGACGTCGGATCTCGTGAGCTGTGTTTAGGGTGTGGCCAGGATGCGGTAGAATTTGAACAGTTCCTCAAGTGCGTGCCGGGTACGGGAGGGTGGGGGTGGGGGAGAAAACTTTATTACCTACATTTACATGGAACAAAGACGTCGTTTAACGGATAAAGAAAATTATACGGGGAAAGCGCGGGAAGCAGCACGCGCTGATTGGCGAAGTTCTTGTCTATCTGCACGGAAGGCCAGAACAGCTGCGGTGTAGGTTAACTGACAGGGGGGAGTACCCGCACCAGCTAGCGCTCTTACTTTTAAATATTGGACTTAAAAATAACCACACTTTGCTCACTCTTAAGTTAAAAATAGAGTTTATCGATGTACTGTAATTATAATTGGTGTTTACTAATGAAAACTGACATTAACAATTTCAATTTAAAAAATTTAAGATGTCACTACGTCACATTTATTGCAGCTTGGTTTGGTTCCGTGCTTGTTGATTTCTACTAACAGTTATACGTAAGGAGCTAAACTATCTAATCTGGTATAATCTATCTCGAGAACTCATCAAATGTTTAATTAATATGTTAAACATTTAACTGACACTTTTATTTACTTAACTATTTACTACTACAATCACCCCATCAATAGAAAAATAGAAATAGAAGTAGGTATTTCAACAGCTCCCCACCTCCTCACCACATTGTTTCTTTAGAATTTCTATCCCACCCATACTGAAAGAGCCAACGTAAATTTATATGAACGACCCTATCGTCCCAAAAGATAACCTATAAGTAAAGTCAAGGCCACTCACAAGAATATTGAATGTACAGTAAGGTCAAGGCCACTCACCAGAATATTAAATGTACAGTAAGGTCAAGGCCACTCATCAGAATATTAAAAGTGCAGTTAGACCAAGGTCATTAACCAGAATATTAAATACACATAAACTTTAAAGGTCAAGGTCACTCGCCAGAATATTAACTACACAGAAAGGTCAAGGTCACGCACCAAAATATTAAATATACATAAATGTCAAGGTCACCCACCAGCACATTAAACTACGGTAAGGTCAAGGTCACTCACCAGAATATTAAATGTACAGTAAGGTCAAGGCCACCTACCAGAATATTAAATGTACAGTGCATCTTCGTGTCCCTCTGTTCCTCGCCATCCATGATGTCCCTGTGGGTGGAGATATAAGGTTGTAGTTAGTGGATAAATAATGGAGTCATTGGTAGGGATGGAGTCAGTGGTTCAATTGGGATAAATAATGGAGTCACTGGTTCAAGTGGGATAAATAATGGAGTCACTGGTTCAAGAGGGATAAATAATGGAGTCACTGGTTCAAGAGGGATAAATAATGGAGTCACTGGTTCAAGAGGGATAAATAAGGGAGTCGGTGGTTCAAGTGGGATAAATAATGGAGTCACTGGTTCAAGTGGGATAAATAAGGGAGTCGGTGGTTCAAGTGGGATAAATAATGGAGTCACTGGTTCAAGTGGGATAAATAAGGGAGTCGGTGGTTCAAGTGGGATAAATAATGGAGTCACTGGTTCAAGTGGGATGAATAATGGAGTCAGAGGTTCAAGTGGGATAAATAATGGAGTCACTGGTTCAAGAGGGATAAATAATGGAGTCACTGGTTCAAGAGGGATAAATAATGGAGTCACTGGTTCAAGAGGGATAAATAATGGAGTCACTCGTTCAAGAGGGATAAATAAGGGAGTCGGTGGTTCAAGTGGGATAAATAATGGAGTCACTGGTTCAAGTGGGATAAATAAGGGAGTCGGTGGTTCAAGTGGGATAAATAAGGGAGTCGGTGGTTCAAGTGGGATAAATAATGGAGTCACTGGTTCAAGTGGGATAAATAAGGGAGTCGGTGGTTCAAGTGGGATAAATAATGGAGTCACTGGTTCAAGTGGGATGAATAATGGAGTCAGAGGTTCAAGAGGGATAAAGAAGGGGAGTCACTGGTTCAAGTGGGATGAATAATGGAGTCACTGGTTCAAGTGGGATAAATAATGGAGTCACTGGTTCAAGTGGGATGAATAATGGAGTCAGTGGTTCAAGAGGGATAAATAATGGGAGTCACTGGTTCAAGTGGGATAAATAATGGAGTCACTGGTTCAAGAGGGATAAATAATGGAGTCGGTGGTTCAAGTGGGATAAATAATGGAGTCACTGGTTCAAGTGGGATGAATAATGGAGGCAGAGGTTCAAGTGGGATAAATAATGGAGTCAGTGGTTCAAGAGGGATAAATAATGGGAGTCACTGGTTCAAGTGGGATAAATAATGGAGTCACTGGTTCAAGTGGGATGAATAATGGAGTCAGAGGTTCAAGAGGGATAAAGAAGGGGAGTCACTGGTTCAAGTGGGATAAATAATGGAGTCACTGGTTCAAGTGGGATAAATAATGGAGTCACTGGTTCAAGAGGGATAAATAATGGGAGCCACTGGTTCAAGTGGGATAAATAATGGAGTCACTGGTTCAAGTGTTATAAATAATAGAGTCACTGGTTCAAGAGGGATAAATAATGGAGTCAGTGGTTCAAGTGGGATAAATAATGGAGTCAAGTGGCTTTTGAAACATTTTAGTACGACAAGTGAAGACTTTAAAGTCGAGAGCTATACTATGTGCTACTTTACATGGTGTTTTAGTTTAAGTTCAACCATTGTCGTTTCGCCCAGCAATCATTGACCCAAACATTGTCATTTCGTCGTTTAGCCTTGATACAAAACTGATCCGTTTTTTTACGACAGTTTGTGTACTCTACGTGTATTTTCGTACATTATTTTTTTTATTCGCCCACGTGAAATATAAATGATAAAAAAAGTAATTTGTAAGGATTTTTACAGACAGGAAATGGGTTTAAAAACGGTCAAGAAAAAAACAAGCATTAAATTCCTAGAAATGAAGGCACCGTTGTCTGCTATCGCTTCAATCGTGTGATAAGAAGATTGCCAGCAGACGAACGAATCAGCAGACAACGACTGCCGCTGTGTGACGACATCAACAACAAAATTATTGTACGCTGAAAATATTTGTTAACGGCGTAAGGTTTGATGTGTTTTAGGCTTGCTGATAATAAAATTACTCCAGTATGAAAAATGTCCTATTAGAATGCTGTTGATAATAAAACTACTGTATTCGACATTTTTTGACGTTGCAAAGTCTGCCCAAAAGGTCCTATTAGAATGCTGATGATAATAAAACTACTGCAGTCGAAATATTTGTCACGTTGCAAGTCTGCAAAAAAAAAAAAAGAAATACAATCACCGCCACACTAGGGCCAGAAACTTGTGCAAAAATTGTCGTAGTTTATTACGTAAGTGTGGTATCATTTTTAATCTGAATTTAATCCGTTCTTGTTAATTGAATATTTAAATAATATGTTGTCCCCCTCCCTTTTTACTTTCTCGTATATACGAAGTATAAAGAAAGTATTGTAATCGTGCACAAAAATCACTTGAAATTTTAACAATTTTCACCTTATTACACCTCAGTCCTTCATCACATCCGAAGTATAGAGGACTTATTTTAATCGGGCAAAAATTATCAATCCAGATTTATCAAAATTAAGAGGTTTTATACGTAATCCAGTCTGAAAACCTGGGCTTTGCAATTCTGTCCGTATGTCTGTGTGTCTGTCTGTCTGTCCGTGTGTAAACACGATAACTTGAGTACCGTTACAGCTAGGTTGATGAAATTTCATATTTAAGTATTTTATCAAAATCGTAGATCCGTATCAACTTCTGAGCGATTTCCGATAACCGGAAGTGGTACTTTTTCTACTTTGAATTTTTCAAAAGCCTATAACTTAAGTACTATTTCAGATAGATAAATGAAATTTCACATGTAAGTATAAGATCTAATTCTCTACCTGCTGTCAAATTTTGAGTAATTTCCGTTGCCCGGAAGTACTAATTTCCGATTTCTCAAAAAACTAATGCAAATTTTTAAAGTACTAATAATATTGCGCACTATTATGCACTTTTTTATTTGGCGTTCACTTGGTGTGCAATCTTTTGTCTACGAGATTTTATTCTATTTTTACTTTCTCGTATATACGTAGTATAGAGAAAGTATTGTAATCGTGCAAAAAAAAAAAATCGAGATTTTTACAAATCTCGACGTTTTACACCTCACTGATACGGAAAAACATAATTTTGCAATCTTGTCCGTATGTCTGTGTGTGTGTGTCTGTGTGTGTGTCTGTCCGTGTGTAAACACGATAACTTGAGTACCGTTACAGCTAGGTTGATGAAATTTCATATATAAGTATTTTATCAAAATCGTAGATCCGTATCAACTTTTGAGCGATTTCCGATAACCGGAAGTGGTACTTTTCATACTTTGAATTTTTTAAAAGCCTATAACTTGAGTACTATTTCAGATAGATAAATGAAATTTCACATGTAAGTAAAAGATCTAATTCTCTACCTTCTGTTAAATTTTGAGTAATTTCCGTTGACTGGAAGTAGTAATTTACGCTACTTCCGATTTCTCAAAAAACTAATGTAAATTTTAAAAGTACTAATAATATTGCGCACTATTATGCGCTTTTTTTATTTGCGTTCACTTGGTGTGCAATTAATTTGTCTACGAGATTTTATTCTATTTTTAAAACTTTAAGTATTTAAAATGGATTAAAAATCATGTCTATAGCCCGAGTTTCCATCCCCTGTTATTTTATATAAGAATATTCGAGAAAGTTTAGGGGAGATCACTCCCGGTTTATTAAAACTGTAAGTATTTAAAATGGATTAAAAATCATGTCTATAGCCCAAGTTCTCATCCCTGTTGTTTTATATAAAAATATTCGAGAAAGTTTAGGGGAGATCACTCCCGGTTTATTAAAGTTAAGTGACACGTTTCCCTTCAATAAATGATACGTTTTCATTCTATAAATGACTATTTTGCCTTCTTTAAATTTAAATGACATTATTATAGTCAAGTTGAAATTGGTAAAAACTTGAAATGTTGAAGGTCGAAAAATAGTACATCAAATGTCTGTGTATATGTGCTTATTTTGTCTTACCAAATGTACGTGTGTATGTGCTTATGTTGTCCTACCAAATGTACGTGTGTATGTGCTCTTTTGTTATACCAGGTAGACCCATTGTCTTGCAGACATCTGTTTTAAGATATCAACAGCTGATGGTGACCCCATGAAGCACCTAACGACACTATGGGGTAGAAATATTGCACCCCCTCCCCGGGCTCCAGTCCTATCGCGTTAAATTGATTAAAACTTTAACCCTATAAAGCCTGTGGTCTACATGATAGACACACCTTTTAGATTGTCTGTAGCTTGAAGTTTAAAGCCCAACACATGTTAGACATGTTGCAATAGGTGGAGCCTGCTAAAAAAACACAAAATAAATCCCGCCTGTTCATGGCGCTGACCTTTAGTGCAGCTCTGTCTTAAAGTTCATTGCAACAACCGTTTACAGCAAAAAATTCTTTTTACACCCCCGATTTCCGTCTGTTTTTCTATTTATAGTTATAATGAATGAAGCAAATACAAGCTATGCAGGAAAGTGCGCATGTCTATGAGAGCACCTGACCAACCGGAGAGTAGCGTTCCCTTGAATGCTGTATTTCAGCACAAGATGCGAGACTGGCCAATGATTGTTCGAACTGGCGACTCTTGTAACAACATTTGTTTACTTCTAGTTTACAATCCGGGCACTAAATCTACATAGCTGCACCCAGACGCGGCTTACGATATAAACAACAGTGGCAACCTATGGTAGATTTACGACGGCTGGCTTTTGGTTTTCTTGATTCCAACACTGTCAGCTTTATGGAATTCAATCAAAGATGGACTGTTTTTATCTCGTCCATCGACCATTTCTACCTGATGATGCGGCACATTTAGACGGATTATGGACCATTTTTGATTGATGCTGCGCCGTTTTTAGCCAGATGATGGACGATAATTTAGCCGGATGATGGATCACGTTTAGCCGGATAAAGGACCACTTTTAGCCGGATGATGGATCACGTTTAGCCGGATGATGGATCACGTTTAGCCGAATGATTGACCACTTTTAGCCGGACGATAGACTACGTTTAGCCGGATGATGGATCACTTTTAGCCGGATGATAGATCACGTTTAGCCGGATGATGGACCACGTTTAGCCGGATGATGGACCACTTTTAGCCGGATGATGGATTACGTTAAGCCGGATGATGGACCACTTTTAGCTAGATGATTGACCATGTTAGATACTGGATGACTTATGAGTTAACAAAAACGCAGCTCTGAATTGACGAAGCGACGATACGAAGATGATTAGTTTCCATGACAACACGTCGGACCGTGTGTGACCAGTAGTGACCACAATTAGAACCTGATGTTTTTATCTCTAATTTATTCCTAAAATCTTATCAAAGTGCCAGTTTTGAGAGATAAATCAAATCTTTTGAGCCCAGAGCGAGCGAGTAAAGTGAGACCTTGTGCCAGACACTAACGAGCATAAGACGCTCCAAGATCTGGTTTAGCCTTGAGACTGCTCACGTCTTAATTGGCTTCAACCTGGACACTCAGCTGTTCTAAGCGAGACAGACCCGGCCATAGCACCTGTTTTATTGACGTGACAGATCCGGCCATAGCACCTTTTTTTTTGACGTGACACACCCGGCCATAGCACCTGTTTTTTTTTTGTTTTGGCGTGACAGACCCGGCCATAGCACCTTTTTTTTTTTGGCGTGACAGACCCGGCCATAGCACCTGTTTTTTTGGCGTGACAGACCCGGCCATAGCACCTGTTTTTTTGGCGTGACAGACCCGGCCATAGCACCTGTTTTTTTTCTGACGTGACAGACCCGGCCATAGCACCTGTTGTTTTGTTGACGTGACAGACCTGACCACTGACAGCTCTACTTGACGTGACATATCTGACCACTAACAGCTGTTCTAAACGTGACAGACCAGGCCATAGCACCTGTTTTATTATTGACGTGACAGACCCGGCCATAGCACCTGTTTTTTTATTGACGTGACAGACCCGGCCACTGGGACCACTAGGAACCTCTATCAAGTCTTCCATTTTACCCAAAGCCTGTCTGAGCTGAGCTGATTGCTGCTATTACAGCCTGATCTGAAACAAACGCTTGAGGCCACTTCCCCATCATCCCATGTAGCACCAGCGGCCGTGGATGTGGTCCACAACATAGGCAGCCTCCCAATTATGAACTACAAATATAGCTGCTAAAATATCTCAATTAATTTATTAAGGATAGAGTGAAATGGGTTTGTTCTTAGTGTTTATGTTTGTGTGCTCAAAAAGTGCACTCTAGGACATACTGTATATATTTACAAACATGAAAACAAACGCTGTTTTCACTTTACGTGAACCTATCATCAAACAGATTGGCTGACATCAGGAATGTAAACAGAATATAAACAGATGCAAACTGAAACATAGCATACAAGTATACTGCAGTAAAAACAAGGGTTATATATCAGAAATATTATGCTTCAGCTTGATTGGATGTGGCTTCAAAGTAATCGATTACAGCATCAGAAATATAATGCTTGGGCGTGATTAGATGTGGCTTCAGTGTGATCGATTTCAGTTAAATATTTTACGATTTCATGGCAAAGTGAATTTGATGTCACAGCTTTATACAGAGTGCATGGTGCACCTGCTAAAGAAACGCAGGGTGCAAATTGAATGTGAAATAAAAGGTGCACGGTGCACCAGCCAGGAGAAGTACCGGGTGCAGCACACATGATGACCGTGAGAGTACAGCTGCACTCAGTACTCGGACCATCCCTACCAAAGCACGTCACAGCTCCACTCCCATCAGTACCAATGTACGTCACATCTGCACTCAGTACTCAGACCATCAGTACCAATGTACGTCACAGCTGCAAACACTACTCACCACCATCAGTACCAATGTACGTCACAGTGCACTCAGTACACAGACCATCCGTAAAAATGTACGTCAAAGATGCACTTAGTACTCAGATAATCCCTACCAATGTACGTCACATCTGCACTCAGTACACAGACCATCCTTACCAATGTACGTCACAGCTACACTCAGTACACAGACCATAAGTACCAATGTACGTCACAGATGCACTCAGTACTCAGACATTCCGTACCAATGTACGTCACAGCTACACTCAGTACACAGACCATAAGTACCAATGTACGTCACAGATGCACTCAGTACTCAGACATTCCGTACCAATGTACGTCACAGCTACACTCAGTACTCAGACCATCCCTACCAAAGCACGTCACAGCTCCACTCCCATCAGTACCAATGTACGTCAAAGCTGCACTCAGTACACAGACCATCCCTACCAAAGCACGTCAACCGTAACCCTTCCCACAATGACGTGCTTGTGGACACAGCTATCTTACAAGCTCTCTAATCCATCATTTTCCCATCCAGCACCCCGCCTTTTAAAATAACTCCTTCAAAGTTCAGCAACTCAACAGGCACGCATTTGTTTCCCTTGAATCCGGTATTTTCTTTTTCACTCAGATGAAAATGAAATTCTCCATTCGTGTATTTTTTATATCTCGCTGCCTAATTTGTGATAGGCAACGTGGCACATAAGGAGACATTTTTCCATGTGATTTTTGTCCCAAAGCTATAACTTGTTTCGTTGTTTTTGCTTTAACTCATTCGTGTTTTTATTTTTATTTTTTTTCTATACTTGAAAATAATGAAACGCCGTTTTCTGCTCCTGGAAAAAAGTTTTCTATCTTTCTTTTTTCCCTCAATGATGGAGATGGATAGTATTGCAAAATTAGCAAGACAATAACAGTTACCTGTCTATTTAATTGTCAGAGTTTTGCCTTAAGGGGAATAACGTATCCGAATTCAACACGACGCAATTATTATAAATTTTTATTATCCAAATTTAATTTTTTTATGTTAAAAAATGTAAACTAATTTTAGCTTTGTTTTTTAATTATTTTTCTCCAGCTATAAGGTATATTGCATATTTGTTTTTGTTATAAAGTATATTGCATAGTTGTTTTTTTAAGAAGCACACTAATTTATGTTGTTTTTTTTTCGGCGCAGCAGAATTGTAAAGACAACCAGTGTGTTTAGATGGTTGCAGATAGTGGACAAAGATGCTCACTGCTACGTGAGTTGCCCTCCTTTTTTTAAAGCTTATTAACACCATATGTTGGTTGCCCAGTTGTGGGAAAGTTATCGTTCTTGATATAGCTTCATACCTTGCCGTCTTTGTACAAGGTAATGAGAGGAAACATTTAATAAATGAAAGACTTCTTTTAAACGACGAAAATAAAATTTGCTTGAAATGAAAAAAAAAATTCTTAACCAAACATATTTCCAAATGTTGTATATACGGACTAAAAAGACAACATAACCTAAAAACAAGAACTTTGATGTTCTTTGGCAGATTTTAGCTTTGATGTTCTGGAACAGATTTTAACATTTCATTTCTAAAACACATAAAGAGCAGAGGAAGACACTACCCCCACACAGTCCTGGGCTGAGACCACACCGTAAAGGGCGTGGCACTAACATTGAAGGGTGATGCTGGCAGTTTAGGGTGGGATAAAACTGTCGTCTACACAAGATAAACAAACACGCATCAGCTATTTATTTAGATGTGCATCCCGTATTCAGATTCGGTGTACAGTTACCCTACAGCTGGGATCTAGTTTGAGGCGCTGACTGGGGATTCGTTTCTATCTATTAAGGGTGGATGAGGTGCTGATTGGGGTTTGGTTTCTATTTAGGGTGATGTTAGGGGCGCAGGTTAGGGCGGTGTTTTAATCAGATCGGGTTGAGTTTAGGGCATAGCTGAAATGGAGCTTAATTCTGTTCTCAGCTGCGGTTTCCATACTAAGTAAACAGAGGCCATTACTATCTGTGCTATTAACCCTTTGATCGAGTAATTTTAGTTTAAAATGTGGTCTTAAAATAAATCTTTTGTCATGCTGAATAGTGTTGTATGTTGAATAACAGTGCCGCGGTCAAAGGGTTAACAGTCGTCGTCCCCCCCCCCCCCGTCCCCCGTCCCCTAAAAAAATGACGTCCACTAACCTGTAGTCGAGTAGCCGCTCCAGAAGGTCAGTGACCGAGAAGACGAACCTCTTGCCCTCCTCCTGAAGCTCTGGCTCCGACTGGACCTTGTCCAGCAGTCTGGTGAAGAATTTCATCTTGCTTAACCCTTGCATTTCAAAGTCAAAGTTCAAGGTGGCTGAGGTCATGCCATGTTAACCCTTGCATTTCAAGGTGAAAGTTCACTTTAGCTCGGGTCTGGCTAATACGGTTATTTTTATCATCCTTGGTCATTAGTTGGTCAGAAAATTTTAAAACGAATTATCCTTCATTTTTAACATAGCTGTTTATCAAATGGCACAAATGTAGACGAAAATAGAACACCTCAAAACTTTTTAACACTTCCAGTGGATTTAGAACGTTTTCTACACAAAGTAACGAAAATTGAAAGTAAAAACAGAAGCAACAGAAACAAGTAAAAACAGACAGAAAAAGTCGTTACAGTGAATCCAAAGTCGATTATCTATGTGGGTTAAGTTCATTCGCCTAATGTAAAGAGCTTTATTTGACATGAACGTCAATTTCATTAAGCTTCAAGGCTAAGACGCCTGTCAGTGTTTGGATGTATGGGGCGGGAGGGGGGTACCGAGAAAGTACAGACAAATTAGTTCAGTTCCAGAGTAAGGGGGGGAGGGGCATACACAACAATAACATTTCAGCAGTAAGATATTTTAGATCGCCAGTCACCACAACAAAGTAGGAACATTCCTCAGTCGGTAAGTTGGACGACACAGTGAAAACCCGTTGAAAAAAATTGTACAATGGACGGGGAGACCTACGGTATTCACCAAAAAACAGTTGGGCAATTATTTCCAATGTTTAAGTAGTTCCATCTGAATTGCTACTGGCGTTTTAGCAACACGGAGGTAAAGTCTCCCGAGGCGAGTACTTGACCCTAAATTCTCTTCCTGTCATGGCAAAATAAAACGGGAAAGTTCGGATGGTTTGTTTTTTTACTGCTGGGACTAGAGGTTGTTTTGAAAACTTCAAATGGCGAATCTTTGACTGTCTAATCCAGTAATTACAAACAGGGTGGGGTTAGGGGAAGGGTTGTATGATGGGGTAAGGGAAGCAGAGTTTCTTCCAGGCATCTCTTCGGGGGGGGCAAAGCCCCCCCCCCCCGAAAAATTTTTACCGCCCCCCCGAACGAAATGAAATTTATATAATTTATATAGAAAATATATACTTTTAACAGTGTCCGCCCCCCCCCCCGAAGAAAGTCTACCGCCCCCCCCCCGAAGAAAGTCTACCGCCCCCCGGAGAAAAAAGTCTGGAAGAAACACTGAAGGGAAGGGGGTTATGGTGGGGTTGTGGGAGGGGGTGGGTTACGGGTTATGGTGGGGTTATGAAGGATATAGTGGAATTAGGGGTGGAGTTATAGTGGGGTCAGGGTGAGAGATATACTGAGGTTCGGGGTGGGGTTGTATTTGGGGATAAGGAATTTAAGGTGGAAAGAGAACTACACAAATTATAACGAAAACGTATAGACTATACTTTACACTATAATAGTGTAGCCGTGTATCCACAATAATAAGTAGCCTAATTAAAATGCTAAAAAAATGTAGAATGCAGCCAAATTAAAATGTAGGGTGTAGTGTAATTACAGCAGGGGAATGTAAGCCTATTGTTTGTATAGTACAAGCATCTCTGTCAAATGTTCCCGTGTGAAAGCAAAAGTTTATAAAATGCGATAGGCTAGTAGCTAACGTGAAACAAACTTGCGCACGCATCAATGAAATCATCCGATGAAATACATAAATACACAATCGTATTTAACACCACACACGTTTAAAGCTTTCTTAATAAACAAATCCTTTTATCGGAATTCTTCGTTTCTTTGAAACTTTACATCTTTTTTTTTTTAAAAATTGCTTGTTGTCTTTGGTGAACCTGATTAAAGTTAAGTTCCTAGTTCAAGAACATCCATTTCGACAAATTCAATACAAAATATCCATCTGATTGCGAAGGTTAGATCCATTATGAAAGCTCGCATCTATGAACCCTCGACAAAAAGCCCGGCGTGCCTATGAAAACGAGCGGACTAAAAGCGTTTAGAGACGGCAAATTTTGACACTTGATTATCAAATAGTTCTGGCCTAGAGATAAACACAGACAAGGGAGCGGAAAAACGCCAAACACTTAAGCAATGTTAACAAGATTTTAGAGCCCAATTTTTGACGAGATAAAGCTGAGGGTGGCCAGATGGGCTGAACTAGCCCTTTGTGTTTCAATGAACTAGCCCTTTGTGTTTCATTCCACTCATTACAACGTTGGTGCTTAGGTGCATGGGCAGCAGACCACTTGAGTTCGTTAGATCACGTGATTTTTCCAGGGTGATTTCGTGAGCAGGGAATTCAATCAAGTGATTTGAATCGCTCAAAAAGCGAATTACCCTTCCAGACCTGGGCGGCTTAAGAAGGCCCTCTAAGACAAGGACTATGTCCAGCAGCTTTGACCTAGGCCAGGTACCCATCACAGCAGGATTGAGTAAGGGAACCGAACTCGAGACCTGCGGGCTAGCAATCGAGTGGCCCTCCCCTCGACCACGCCGCCACACAATAGTACAATGACCTAACGCCGCCAAACAATCACACATTGACTATGACCTAATGACGTCCACATAGTTTAAGTAATAAAGCAGTTCATGACTGACATAACGCAGTTGAGGGCTGTCCCAACCAGAATAAAATCCCTATTGTAAGACGCCAGACTAAGACTCGTGATGATCACTTCAAACCCTCCTAGAGTTACCGTCCTATATTCATCCTCTTACCGCCCTTTAAGCTTATCTATATGATCAACACGGCTCGCCTTTGATCATCTTTACAAATTAATGTCGTATACATTATTTTTTTTAAATCTGTACATTTTTAAAAAAATGTGTGTTAAAGATTTTTTTTTTAAAATTGCTATTAGGATCTATCCAGCCGTTCCTTGCAACCCCCCCCCCCCCCCCCCCATAGTTCAATTTCCTACTCTCGTTTCGTGAAATCAACCCCGCTATTGGATAATTATCAAACCACGTGATCGGAGTCTTTAATAAGCCCTTGTGTCAACTGTTGACCCTATCGTTTGTGGACAGAGGTCACTAATCAAGGTGAAGGCTGCGGTCACGAAATAATGGCCAATGCTATTAGTGGAATGCGCTTGCAGCTATTTTAACTGAAGACTGGGCTAGAGTTCACAGAATGACTTCAGTTATGTAGTGATGCCTTAAGTAGTCCCAATATAACCGCAGTCATGTAGTGATGACCTAAGTAGTTCCTTAATGACTTCAGTCATGTAGTGATGACCTAAGTAGTTCTATAATGACTTCAGTCATGTAGTGATGACCTAAGTAGTTCCATAATGACTTCAGTCATGCAGTAATGACTTGAGGCAGTCCCAAAATGACTTGAATACAATTTTCACTAACCCCAAACCCTAGGATCAGCACGACTTCAACTAGAGTCAAGTACCGATGACCCTACCATGGCCTCAGAATGAATTCAGCCAATTATCAATAGAGTACCATAGCCCCGTTCCCCGTGGTAGAAAAGACATGTTTGACCTATGACCCCCGTTAGCAAATCATTGCTCGAAACACTTATCCATGAAGCTCCCAGTAGAAATCATAAGTATAGCACACACACACACACACGCACACACACACACACATACACACAAACGATACCCCGCCCTGTGCAAGAACCTTTACACGGTGTACACTAGGGGACACCTTTAGTGTGGGCTCTAGTGTACTCACCAACCACACGCCTAGTAATAAATGGACTCGTATCAAGTACTCATGTCCTACTGCATAATGAACTTTTTATTCTTTTTTTTTCCAATGTAAACATGTTTTGTTATATGCCTACTTCTTTCCTTTACATTTATCTTTATTTAATTGTTTTTACCGATTGGCTGATCTGTTTACGTGTGTAAGAAAAAAAAAGGTACGCGGTGGTTAGTGATATCACAGCTAGAACAAAAATTAGATCAATAGGCAAACATAAGGGACGGTATTTTTATTTAGAGTTCACATTAGCAGGAGATTTAAAATTGATTTCGAATTTCTAAAATATATCAGATGATACGAAAATGCGAGATAATTATCTTCTTTAACGCGTAACGATTTATCTTGACTTGAGATAGATAACCGAGAACAAATCACATAGATAATTGTATCGATAGATCAAGGCTTAGGTCACGTGACCCAGACCTATAAACAGGGGGGAGAAGAATTATGGGAAGAGTTCAGTTGGCGTTTTAGTGCTTGTTGGGAGTTATGGGTGTTTTTTTTAAAGAATGTCAGGTCTTGTGTGGTCTTACAGATGAGTGGCAGGCATCTGGATTACTGCTTTAGACAAGTGGGGTCAGCGCTATGGCCAGATGAGGGGATGATGAGGGGATACCCGAGAGGCTAGGGGATACAGAGAGGCGAGGGGATACAGAGAGGTGAGGGGATACAGAGAGTGATATACGAAAGACGAGTGGATACACGAGAGGCCAGAGGATACACGAGACGCCAGAGGATATGTGATACGCCCAGAGAGTTCCAGAAGTAACAACAGCAACCGGTGCCACAAAACTGAGAAGATGCTGGAGCAGTCTACAGAAGCGGAACCAGATTCAGCAGGGGTAATTTGATACGGTCAAGCTGACCTCGTGAAGCCACAGAAAACAAACTTGAGCAGGACACCTGGACCGGGTCCGTACAATAACATTTGTCAGCACCTGAGTGGAGTATCTAACAGCTTAGCGGCGCAGTTACGTGAGAACTTACCCAACCGGGGGCTGAGGAAGCGGAAGTAGAAAACATAACACAGAGTTCCGACAGGGGAAAGGGGAAACTCAAAAAAAAAAAGTCCGGCTGTTTTTTTTTTTAATTTTAAACTTTTCACTACGTGATGTGAACCCGCTGGTGTTGCAACACAATGAGTGGAGTCTGGGGCATTGGTAGACAGTTTAGAAACTATCATTCGTCACATATTTAGCTTTTGGTGGGTGGCATTTGGGGGTGCGGGGTTCATTTCATTTCATAAAAATTTGCGATAAATAACAAAAATTTGAAATATTTTACATTATGGTATTACTAAATATTAGTTTATAATGATTTCAACTTTCCCCGTGATACGACCTTACATGTCTTATTCATTATTTTACAAACCCTACATCAATACTTGCGTCCCACTTAGTTTATTTGTACCTATAATCAGCTCACACTTGGCAAAGTTAATAGCCAATTAAATTCGATCAACACTCACGTAGTTATTTTTAACACCCCCCCCCCGGCCCCAGATCAATTATGCAAATGATACAAACAGTGACCGGAATTTAATTTGAACCAGACAACAGGTGGCACTAAAAGTAAACAGCGATCAGTATTTTAGATCGATCACGCTACACCATTATCTGAATATAGTCATCCACTGTGGTCAAAGTCTAATTTTAATCCAATGTGGTCAACTATAGTCTAATCTTAATCCACTGTGGTCAAAGTCTAGTCTTAATCCTAGTAAAATCTTAATTCACTGTGGTCAACTATAGTCTAATCTTAATCCAATGTGATCAAACTATAGTAAAATCTTAATCCACTGTGGTCGAACTATAATCTTAATTCACTGTGGTCGAAGTATAATCAAAATCCACTGTGGTCAAACTAATATAATCTTAATCCACTGTGGTCAAACTATAACGTAATCATAACTATATATCATAACTATATATCATAATCATAACTATATATGATAATCTTAATCCCTACGATGTCAAACAACACCTAAACCATTACTAAGGTTAACTAAACCTTGGTCTTAATCTACACTTGTACGTACAGCATCCCCTTACCTAAGGAGGTTTAAACTCCCAACCCTCGACGAAAAGACTCAAACTAAATACTTAATCTTAATCTGGCAAGGGTAGGTCTGGCTGCAATCAGACAAGGTCTACGCTGTAATCAGATAGGCTTGAGGTAAATTATATCATTAAGCCTAGCCCGTGGAGGGGCAAACTCAATTTTACCGCTGGGGTCAAGCTCCTGTAAGTACACGAATTAAGACCTCCATGGGTAAAGACGAAGTCACTTACAATATAACAAAGTTTTATATAAAAACTGCGTCATAAAAATACTTTACTAATTTTTTTTTAAAGTAACACGCAACTTTAAGCTATAAATACACTTCTGTTGTTTTATTATTCATTTATTGGTTGTTTTTTTTTTTAATTTAAAAATTCACATGTTTTACTTGTATATAAAAAGTGAACACATCCATCGGAATGAACACAGAAATCCGCCTATATTGTCACTTGCTATAATCCACGGAGAGGTGAGCGGCAACTCACAGGAGCGCTTGTCCCTTGTACCGTGCCCCCAACTTTCACACACACGGCAGATGTACGCCAGTAAAAAATACAGTGGGGGGTCAGAGCGCTACATCCGTTACTCGGTCAGATCCGGTCGTCTGCTGGCGAGCACGCGCTGCTCACGGCTGCTGCTGGGGTGGGGGCGATGATCCCACGACCGTCGCTAGTTCATGGCTGGGTGGGGGGGGGGGGGGCTCATGCAGATGTCACTCGGTTATGTTTGCATGACGCCTCCCAGAAACATTTGACCATTGTCACATACGTGAATGCAAGGGTGATTGGGGGGGGGGGGGGGGGAAGGGGGTGAGGGATGGTTAAACATTCACAAGAGATTGAAAAGGTATCTGAACACTAAGGTGCACGAAAACACAGAAAAAAAGTAAATTGGTTAACAATTTGGACAAAATTAGTTATATTACTAGATCTACTTTATCTGTAAATTCTCCAGAATCTGGTCTGGATTCTATGAAATGAACTGATTTTATAAACTAGGTTACTAGATCTAGCTAGATCTATATCTAGAATCTATATAACGGCATCTAGATCTAGAAAGAGTCTATTAGAGGATTAGGAGAGATCCATTAGATTTTAGATCTTAGTAATCTAGATCAATACATCTTTCTAGAATCTAGAAGCTAGAATTCTAGAATTCGTTTAGAGAACTTTAGTACTTTAGAGTTTGGCTAGAGTAGATCTGTACTGTATTCTAGTGCTAGGTCTAGAGTATAGATCTAGATCTAGTACACAACTAGACTCTAGCACAACAGTTCGATTCGGAGTATAGCAAGAAAAAAATATTATATTAGAAGGGTTCGAGTTATTTGTCAAAAAGAGAAGGAAAAAAAACAATATTGAATATTCACAGTGACGCGGGAGGAGACAGGAAGTAAACATTGAAAATATGTTAATGAGATTATACACAATAGTGGTCTCCCTTTCTTTTTAAAATACATACATTCTACTAGATCTAGGCGTAACCACATCATAATTAAGGAAAGCCACTTTATTGAGATATAAATATCTAGATTTAGAACTCTCAATAAAAACAAATAGGCCTACAGTCTATCAATATTTTTTTTTAATTTAATTTTAAATTTAGACAACTTAGAAAACCACCTATAAAGAAATTTTAGAAACGTCTAATGAGCGTCATGTGATAAAACAAACAAAGGGCATTGGGTCAAGGTTTTTTTGTGAAGTTAGAATAGATTCAGCCAGATAAAAAAAAAAATACGGGCCGAGAAAAACGGCTTCTGCACTTTCAATGACGACTAAAATAAGCACTCGAGGCACGCTCGTTGACTTGAGCTCTCGTAGAACGCCGGAGTTGGGTGTTCTCCCCTGTCATCAGCTGACGAGTGTACCCCCATCTTCCCCTCCCCACACTGGGTCTTTACACTGTAATCGCTTTTTAAACGCGGGGCCCGTTGAGCACTGCGCGGCTTTCATGCGTGCTATCAGTGAGGGCCATTGGCCATTTGGTGGAGTGAGTTCATGGCCATTTATTGGGTGGATCCAGGGCCATTAGGTGGAGTGTGTTCGGTGGCATTAAGTGGAGAAAAAAAAATATTCCACCACATGTTTTTACAACGCGTGTAAAAAAAAAAATGTGTTAATTAAAAAATAAAACCACAAACACAACCGCACGAATAGAACAAAAAAAAACAGAAAACAAAATTCACCATTAAAAATTAAAGCGCATGTTCCGATAAGGCCACACGTAATTCTATCTGGGTTCAGCCCCGCCCCACGGGCTCTACAATTTTAACTCAGGCGGAAAATGTGATCAGTGACGATTGAGTTGAGTGTGTGTGTCCGGGGGGGGGGGGGTCTGTAGGGGCGAGAGGAAAGGATTGAAGAAAGAAAGGTGTAGTCTTGATGAGCCAGACATTTTTTTTTTAAAAATAAACTCGTAAAATACAAGAAAAAAGATATTTAATTAGTTTTAGTTAATTAAAGTCATGACCGCCAATGCTGGCTTTAAGCCTAGAGAGCACGAACTGCTAATAAATTTTAGGCAGAAGTTGTCGGGCAGTTTACGGCAGTCGTGATAAATGACGTCATTTCACACCCAGCTCACCCGTGAAATGAATCAGGATTTCGTTACATCGGGGTTTGGGGGGGGGGGGGGGCGGTAAAGGAAGATTTCAGTGAGTTGAGAGAGGGTAGGTGTTATTGGGGTGGGGGGTGAAGATTTCACGAATTCCGCAGAATAAATCAGTTCAGAGATAGCTCACGGGATAAGAGCAGAACGGTGGTAGACCGAGGGGCGCGCAACTCGTCCCAAACTAACTCACATTGTTGAGTGTTTTAATGAGCTCTACTGGAGATAAGAATTAATTGGGATGAAGCGTTGACGTTTTTATTTTATTTGAATGGAAGAAATTATTCACAGATAACAACAATAGAGACCAACGCTATAGGTGATAGTTATAATGTACCATGATTTAGTGGGTATTGGAGGAGGGGAGGGTGGATTAATGTTTATGAAAAGTAATTTTCACAAAACAAATGTAACAAAAGTAATACATCAGATTTTGAGAACAAACGCTCGTTTTAAAGTATGGGCATATGTGCCAGTGTTGTTATACACCTCCAGCTAATACTGACCAACTAATGACCACCTTAAAAAAACTGACCAACTAATGACCACCTTAAAAAAACTGACCAACTAATGACCACCTTAAAAAACTGACCAACTAATGACCACCTTAAAAAAACAAACTGACCAACTTATGACCACTTTAAAAAACTTGAGCTGTGTTAAAAATACCATAAATATTTACATTTACCACCTTGACCTCAACCACTTTACTTACACAAAAAATCATATTCTTGTAATGTATCCGACTAAGTTCAAAAAATTATACATGTTCTTTGTTTGTGTAAACTTTTTACATTAAAAAATATGTTTATGCTTTTAAATATATTAGATATTCTAAATTTAGAAAGTCATAACACTAGGACAGCTGTAAAGGTCTTTACATCATGAACATGAAAATACATTTGTCTTGTAAATTTGTGTCTAAGCAGGCGAGTGCTGGGTACTCACATGGAGCTGAACAAGTTCTTGTACTCCACATCTCCATTGTGTTCTATCACCAGAGAGTCCAGTTCTTTTATCATCTTAGCTTCAACCTGTCAAACACAACCAAACATTGCTGCTTCAAATAAACGATAAAACAATTGGTGTGTCAGATACATATAAGGATATGTAAAACACTTTTGTTTGCTGCAAATGAACACCTGAAATGGATACAAATCTAATTTGTTCTCATACAGAGGCACATCAATTAAAATAGAAATGAAGTACCCAGGCTAAATGCTCAGTTAGCCAGTGGCCAGGGCAGATGCCTAGCATCTGGGGGCAGATGCCTAGTGTCTGGGGGCAGATGCCTAGTGTCTGGGGGCAGATGCCCACCTTTTAAGGTTTTTCTTTTCCTGCTCTCTCAGCCACCCAACAGAGCTGGAGCGACTGGAGGACATCATACAGCCTTTAGCCAACAACCAAACTCTACACTACAGGGTGTGTGACCAAACCACATGCTCAAACTAAGGACCACTTTGTCCCATATTACATCAGTGTTAGATGTCCAGAAGGGTTTTAAAGAACTTCATCTATAAGGCAAATATTATACTTTGGTGGGATAACTTTCACAATACAATTTTAATGGGAACTAAAACAAGGGAGATAACTTGAGCTCACACAATACAATTTTAATGAGGACTAAAACAGGAGGAATAACTTAAGCTCACATTTCGAAGATGTGACGATTCCTTGAACTCACACAGCATGATGTCAAAAAATATGGGGATTGTGGCTTTTCTTAGCTCGAGCTGAGGCACCATGGTCACCTTGAGGAAGGGACCAATCATATCCATCATCAGCATCTTCTTGTGGGGCCCTGGTACAAAAAGAAACATGTAAAAAATAACAGGGGGATACCACTTATGTCATGTTAAGAATTAAACTTACATCAACAATATATTAGTTACAATATGTCACATTAATTTTTTAACCAACAATATTAACTTTGACAATCTTTGTGGAGTACCAAGATAACATGTAAGGAATATTTACCCAGCTGATTCCACAGAGAATAAATGTGGAAACCAACAGGAACTCTCATATCATTGTACCTGGAACAGATAAAATTAAACATCAGCACGAGAATTTTTACAACAGCGTCTCTTTCATTAGATGGCCAGGAATTAGATGGCCAGTAATAGCACATTTGTTTAGAAACTTATTTTAATATATTTTTACATCAGCTTCTCCTTCATTAGATGGCCAGGAATTACATGGCCAGGAATAGGACATTTGTTTAGAAACTCATTTTAATATATTTTTACATCAGCTTCTCTTTCATTAGATGGAAAGGAATCGGACATTGATTAGATACTCATTTCAGAACTGTAATAACTTATGCATTTATTGTTTACTCTTCCCAAGTTCAAAACATATTGTGTTGAATCTTGAGGTTTTGTATGCTAATCAAAAATAAAATAAAACCTAGCTAGACTGACTTGTCTTTGATCTGTCTACTAAAGGTTTTGTATGCTAGTCAAAAAGTCCAGAAAATAAAACCTAGCTAGACTCACTTGTCTTTGATCTGTCTGCTAAAGGTTTTGTATGCTAGTCAAAAAGTCTATAAAATAAAACCTAGATAGACTCACTTGTCTTTGATCTGTCTGCTCTTGGCCTCTGAGTATTTCTCCAGCTGTAGAGCTGGCTGGCTGATGAAGTCAACAGCCAACAGAAAAAAATTCTTCCACAGCTGCAATAAATAAGGTACATATCATTTATTATCTCCCTTCAAAAGCTTTTTTTTTAAAAACAATATTCATGCTTGACTAGAAAATTTGTATTAATCAATCACTCACTTCAAAATCAAAGTCATCCCCATTTAAAAAGTTGACAGTCAAATCTTCAGCGATGTACTGTATGGAAGTCAGCATAACACTGTGTACAGATTAAACACATAAACTCATTAACATAATTATCAGTTTACACATAGCTGAGTCAGTCAAATGAACGTACAAACATTTATTGAAAAACAACAATGTGTTTAGCAAATAGCCTAATTACAAACATTTATTGAAAACAACAATGTGTATAGCAAATAGCCTATCTATGTAACCAGTCTGTCTTTGATAGATTATGGGACACTGAAAATGTTCTACAAAGTATATGCTTGAATACTTTTCACATTTTAAAGCTGAGAAAGACCACACATCCTCAACGTTAGTTAATGGAAATTTGAATGTAGATACGCCATTGCTAGCTTTGTAATCATTTGATTTAATGGGCACTTTTTACTTTTTTCCAGTAACACTATTTATCTTTTTCCAAAAAAAAAGTTATTTATGTTTAATAGATATTTTAAAAAATAAAACATTACCAACATGTTTACTAAAAATTAGGCAATATTAAAAAAACATCAGGCCAATGCTTGAAAAAAAACTTGGAAAATATTTAAACTTGGCCAACATTTTAAATAAATCTGGGCACTATCCCAAATAAAAAAAACCTGGCCTGTATTTTCAATAAAGTCTGACCAATGTTTTGTAATAGCAAAATCAAATCCACAATCAAAGATGTGTTATTACTCACTTGCTGGTAATCATTTTCATAGTTATCCAGTCAACTGGGAAGTTCTCTGTGGTAACTAGATCATAGAACACTTGTAGAACTCGATTCAGAAAACCCTTCAATAATACAGACATATTTTACAATTATTTATGTATTAGGTGTCAAATCAAGTAATTTTATTAAACAAATTTTTCAGTTAATGTAAACAGTAGTTTAACACAATAAAAGTTTGATCAGAGAGTTCAACCTTTCCAAAGATGGAAACCATAAAACCCCAGCTCAATAAAATAAGAAGAAAAGATGACAAAAAGTACTTTATTATAAATTCTAATAACCAGGTTGTTGGGATTTGCCATTCAGCATTTTTATGTCATTGGTGGGCCACTATCTTTCCTTACTATTAATACCATTTGTTGTATATAGTTTTTGTAAAGATGTTTTTCTTTAAATCCCCTTTAAATTTCTTCCAGGATTCTTGGCAATATATGTTATTTTTATAGCATGGGGTGCATACATGCAAGTGATAATAATTGAGGTGCTACATTTAAGCCACATCCAACAATATTTTAAGTGATCTAAATTACAGAATGTAAGAAGGAATTAAAACATTCTGAGTAGAATGGATATATAAATGAATAATATTTCAAATAAATTGGAATTTAAAAAATGCAGAAAATAAATGAGAGGATTGGGATAGTTTCAACAATGGTAGATTTAACTGTGCTAATTGACTAGATTAAGTACATAGGTTCCTGTAAGAGTATTTGTTAGTGTTTGTTAAGGTTTTTGCTGCTGAGCACTGTACTACTTGAACATATACTTCTTGCTGTTTGTATAAGATTAATATTTACACTAACATTACCACCACCACATGCACAAAATTTTCTATCTATTTTTTTACAAATGCCTTTCACCAAATAACAGAGATATAATTTCAATATTTCTCAACCACAACCATAAATACAGTCTAATCAGTGATGTACAGCTTGTGATTTCAGTGGCTTTGTAGAATGACAGAGTTTCGTGTTTTTCTTTTTACGTGATGATCAACAAATATATCATGTATATGCAGACAGTACAGACTTTATGACATGCAACAGGGTGTGAACAAAGATTTGTAAGTAACATAAAAAAATTTAATTTACTGGTATAAAACAATAAGAAATGCTGTAATATAGAATTCAGTTTAAACATTTTTTTTTTTTTAAATCAAAAGATGGTTTCAGTATAATTTTGTGTTTTAATCTGCATTGTGCTTGTAGCAAATAACAGATACTACCAATCCATTGGGGGTACTCATATAATTATAGTTACAAAATATTGTGTTAATATGTAGCAGCATATGTGAAACAGTGTTAAAGAGAGTGGATAATAATGATAGTATGGTGGTTTTATCAAACAGTAAGTGTTAAGGAAGGTGGATGATAAAAATTTAGTGTTTTTTTTTCTTCCATTGGTGAATCTTGTACTTGGCAATGAAGACAAGCTGATGCCGTTCAAAATTTTGGTTTAGTTTTTCTTACGTGTTAAAATAATAAATTTAATAACTTTTTTTTTTTTTAATTTGATAATAAATGATGAATTATTCTATGAGAATCACATTTTTATATTTATACAAAACTATTAAATCAAAATTATTTAGAAATGAAATTAGCACCAATATTTTGAATTATGGCTTTAGGTGTTAGCTTTTTTTTGTATGCTAAGCACAAGACTATGCTAGTGTAGCTCTCATGCTTTGTCACCTTGGCTAACTTTGAGCTTTTTTGAGGAATGGCTATAGTTGACAGACGAACCTAGAACATTAGATACCAACATTTGCAAATATAAAAAATTTGCTAGGAAAATGAAGTGAAACAAATTAACCATGAAACCATGCAAAAAAAAAAAAACACCTAATTCTGCAAAACACAATATTAGAAGAAATAAAATCACACTGGACTAGTGTTGTTGTCATAAATTTATTGACACATGCGGAATTAGCAAATTATTAGAGGTAGCTTCATACAAAACCAAATCAGTCTCATTAGAATTTGTTGATTACAGAACATCACATTCTCATTTGTTGGTTAATTAATTAGGTGATTAAAAAAATATTTGATTAATTTAATTAACTGTCATAATTGATACTATTTCTGGTAAATTGAAAATATTATAAAGAACTATATTGTAATCTTATATGGTTAATTCAAGAAGTGAATCTTTTAACTTTTAGATAATTATTTTGTGAGTTTTCTTAAAATAAAAATGAAAAATACATTTTAAGAGGGAAACAGGATTGCTTACCCTGAGATCTTTAGGTTTAGGGTAGACTCCCATTAATTTCTGGTAATGGCTAACATCCATCAATCGCAACATCTCAATCAAACAGGCTATCAGAAGGTTCTGATGATAAACATGTCACAACACCTTCAACAACTCAAACAATTTAAAAGAAGACAAAATAAACTTACAGATCACATACCTAACCAACTTTCTATTTCAAAGTATTTTTTAACTTCTTCTTCTGCATTCTTGATTGTAATGTTGGGAGTGATTTCATATCCAACACAGTTAAGTATTACATGTCGAGTTGCTATGCGCCATTTGGGCCATTGATGCCAATTTCAGTCTGCTATTCTTTTTTAATTTTCTTCCATAGCCTTTGTCCAACCAAGAACAAGCTACAAGACAGCAGTTGTTTGATTTTGGAGTTGTCTCTCCTAGACGGGTTGCTGTTCCCAGCTATTGAGCCTCACCTGCTCAGGGGTTCGAACTCGCGAATGTTCAGTTTAGCAGCCAGGAGTTTTACCAACCCAACCATGCCCACCTACATTGTTTAACATGTCAGCTGTTTAACTTCACCTAAAAAACAGTATTTACAACCACTCACCCCTGAAACAATTTTCTTTTCACTCTCCAACTTGTGCAGTGTCCTAACGTTGACGTCAAAAACTACTTGGATTATTTTTGTCACTTCTTCCTTTAGATCAAAGCTCTGAAACATGTAGTGTTGTAAAACTTTGAAATTTCAACTCAACTTTTCGACTGTTGTGTATTTTGAGTCAGCTTAAAAAATATCAATAATATCTAGAACCTGCCCTTTTATTTATGTTATATATTTACTATAGCTGGACTAAATATAATATTCTAATTCACTCACTACTTTTTAAATACATAGAAAGTAAAAAAAAATCCATTGCTGATAATTACAGCTTAAAGAAATTATTAAACATTAAATCTGTGTTTTCTAAACACTATTAACTCTGCATTTTCTGTGGTTATCTTCCTTTTAGATTAATTAAGTAAATTGAGTTGGTGAAAACTGGTTTGAAATTTTAGAAAACTGTGCGAGGGGATTGGGCGGGGTGGTTCACCTCTCTCATGTTGTAGACAGTACTGAGCAGGTCCCCTAAGGTGTTGGCAGTCAGCTCCAGGTTAATTTTATTATTCAGACAGTGCCTGATGTGTGTTAGACAGATAGGCAGGAGCATTGATCTGGATACTGGAGATTGAGATAAAACACCATTCAACAGTTAAGCCCTTTCATCAGAGCTTGTCATACAAAGGTAAATAGACTTCAAGTATTAGTGAAGTTGAATAAATTAAGTCATCCAAATACTATGTTTAAAAAGATATGATAGAATATAATACTATTTTGTTTATTTTAACTGAATAAATTAATTTTTGTTAATATCACTACCCTAATTTAGCCCTAGCCCCAAGCTCTTACCAACTCTGACCCTAATTCTATTTCTAACATTTTCCTTACTAGCAACATCAACACCAGAGAAAAGAATAATAAGATAATAATAAAAATATAAGGTTGGTAAAGCGCCAACAGGTACGAGTCTATATAAATCTGACCTGGGTCTACTAGTAACTGGGAGTTGATTGTGTTCTGTAAGATGTTCATCTTAGCCTTTATGACTGACCCCCCAGGGTCCTTGTTGATCTTACTGAGGAGGTAGCTCAACAACTTGGCTAGATCCTCCACACTGATGATGTGCAGGAGTGGAATGTAGCATTGGTGGAGGTTGTTCAACATCAGAGCCTAGTGACAAACAAAACATTTTTACAATAGCCTGCCACAGTTCAGTCATTTGATTTCAACAGTGTGTAAATAGACTGAAATAATGTTAAAATGTCATTGTTTCACTAAAGGAACAAACTTGTTATCTAAAGCCTGTACGAAGTAGGTGCTGATCAGAAATTGTAAGAACAATAATGGCATTTAGTTTAGTTTGCCTTATTAAAAACTTTGCAATATTAAAACTTTTTTCTTATTTGAAGCAGCTTTGCAGCTGGCCAAAAAACATACATTCCCAACAGATACACTTCCTATAGATGGCCAACAAACATACATTCCCTATAGATGGCGAAAAACATACATCCCCAACAGTTGGCCAAAAAACATACATTCCAAACTGATACACACCGTATAGATGGCCAAAAAACATACATTCCCTTTAGATGACCAAAAAAACATACATTCCCTTTAGATGGCAAAAAAACCTACATTCCCTTTAGATGGCGAAAAAAATACATCCCCAACAGCTGGCCAAAAAACATACATCCCCAACAGCTGCCCAAAATAATACATCAATAACATCTGGCAAAAAACCTCACTATTTAAAAGACCTGAAAGAAAAAGAAAGTTGCAACATTGTTTCCATGCAGAACAAACCTGAACTTTGTGAAGCTCTTTCTCAGTAGATTTCAAAACTTCCCCAAAAGCCTTGAACACTTTGGTCACGTTGTCTTTAAATTCATTGAGTGAGTGATCACCATACATCCTGGCAACAGAATTTAAGCAACACATTGACTAAATACTTCTAAAACAATCACACACTTTTAATTATTACATTGTTTTTTTTAATTAATTAAAATACTTTCATTAAAGTTCAGCAAGCAAGTGTAAAAGTAATTAGCCATATCCAAATAATTTAATAGCCTCAAGCCTAACCCTAAATCTGCCGCACAATTTAACAACAGTGTGAAGAGTTAATTTATCTGTATTGAAGATTTCAGCAATTAGATTATGTGCGTATGGCTAATCTATTAATGCACAATGACAAACCTCTGTGACAACATGCAAGATTTGACAGAAAATTTGAAGATGTCGCCTAGGACCTGTAAGCAAACACATTAGATCAGCCACTAGTTTAAAACAAATACAAACACATCAGATCAGCGACAACTTTAAAACAAATACAAACACAATAGATCAGCCACAACTTTAAAACAAATACAAACATATTAGATCAGCCACAACTTTAAAACAAATACAAACACATTAGATCAGCCACAACTTTAAAACAAATACAAACATATTAGATCAGCCACAACTTTAAAACAAATACAAACATATTATATCAGCCACAACTTTAAAACAAATACAAACATATTAGATCAGCCACAACTTTAAAACAAATACAAACATATTAGATCAGCCACAACTTTAAAACAAATACAAACATATTAGATCAGCCACAACTTTAAAACAAATACAAACATATTAGATCAGCCACAACTTTAAAACAAATACAAACATATTAGATCAGCCACAACTTTAAAACAAATACAAACAAATCAGATCAGCCACAACTTTAAAACAAATACAAACATATTAGATCAGCCACAACTTTAAAACAAATACAAACATATTAGATCAGCCACAACTTTAAAACAAATACAAACATATTAGATCAGCCACAACTTTAAAACAAATACAAACATATTAGATCAGCTACAACTTTAAAACATTATACAAACATATTAGATCAACCACAACTTTAAAACAAATACAAAAACATTAGATCAGCCACTAGTTTATAACAAAAATGTGGCCACAGCTAAGTGACAAAGACAACATTAGAGAATGTACTGAGCTACTGAATGTAGTGACACAACAATTGTACAGAAATGACAATGAGAGAACAGATTTCATAGTAAGGATCTGAAACAACAATAGCACATGAAACAACAATAGTACATGAAACCAAATAGCACATGACAGTAGCACATGAAACCAGAGTAGTACACCAAATAACAGTAGCACATGAAATCACAGTAGCACATGAAACCACAGTAATATACTAGCACAAGTTCAACTCAGACATGAGAAGGAATTGGTTATGACAATGACCAGTTTAATTAATTCACTATGTATTGGTCATTAATTTTTAAATTTTAATTATTATTTTCAATCTAATTTTTTTATTTACTTAAAATGTTAACATTGCTGAACAATTCTGACAGGTTTCTTATTTTCTTTTTTTTTAGTGGGGAGAGTGTTTTACACCAGACTAAAACAAAGGTAGGTTAAATTTCCTCATTTAAAAAAAAAACTTGATAATAAAGATCCATGAAGTGAGATTATGTAAATTTACTTCCTCTTGAATCTTTCTCCATAAATCTTTCTAAATAAAAAAAAATACTTACAGTGAAAATCTTCCTGGTTGGTTTGTCATCAAAATCAGTACAGGTGTAGACTCGTTCTGCTTGAATGCTTAAACACCTCATGATATCTCTAAGGGAAGTAATTGGATTTTTTTATTTTTAGAAATAGGCCACCTTTTTAAAAACATTTTTAAAGAAATTCAACTTTTAAAACTAAAATGGATTACTAGGTAGTAGAAAAAAATGATAAAGCTTAAATATAACGTAAAAAGTAAGATAGATTTTGGTAGATTTTAAAATGTTTCTTTTGTTGTAACACCTCTACATTACAACAGTACAGCCCTTATTATGCTAGAGTTTGATATGACAACTCTATATTACAACAGTACAGCCCTCACTACGCTAGAGTTTGATATGACAACTCTACATTACAACAGTACAGCCCTCACTATGCTAGAGTTTGATATGACAACTCTACATTACAACAGTACAGCCCTTATTGTGCTAGAGTTAATGATGTCATAACTCTACATTACAACAGTACAGCCCTCACTATGCTAGAGTTACCTGTGAGCTAGTGGGGAGGAAAAAGACTTCTCTAAATAATCTTCAAGAACGACAGAAAACTTTTCAAACACATCTTTGTGAAGGAGGTTAAAAATATGGACCTGAAAAAAAAAAAGAAAAAATAATAATACCATGTCTAATATAAGTAAATAACAAATATAGTAGTATATCTAAGCACAGACATTATTTTTCTCTAAATAAAAATCATAAAATATTCTTTTTAAATCATTTAATCCAAAAATTTTGCATGAGTAAACACATTTGATTATGTCTCAAAGTTTGCTTACCAAAGTGTGGAATATATTCATAGCAAAAGGAACAGATTCGCCATCTCCAGCATTAAACATGTCAAACAAAGAGTCAAGGACATCTTGAAGGTACTGAAAGCAGAAAAAAAATACCACCATTCACATTGGTTTTCATTGATAACATTAGAATAAGTGTCTACTAATGTTTGCTAGAGGAATGAATAGAGTTTGTATTATTTTAGAGATTTTTAAATTTGATAATATGAATAGATGACAATCTTTTCTACTTTCATGTAGTTAGAGTGGGTTGTTAATAAAATTCTAACCACTATTATAATTAGGTTAACATAAAACAGCTATGAGTAATTTATTCTTGTATGATATAAGTATGATATTCATTGCCAGAGACAGTTTAAATACCCATAGACCTAACATTTAGGAAATAAATATATTTTAAAGGACTAACAAATTTTTGTTTTTTAAAGGAAGAAGTTAATGGAAACTAAACACAGAGATAAAATGTGAAACAGCCAACAAAATCTGGAGACATGAAATAAAAAAAACGTACTCTGACCAACTCCTGGCCTTTCAAACGGACCAGTTTTTCAAGATTTTCTGGAATTCTCGATGGGTCAGATCTCCATTGTAGTACATGTAACAGTTCAGCTAAAGCATGGGATAAAAACCATTTTTAACATCAAATATCAAGTTTACAAAAAACAAGAATTTAAGCGAAAAAAAAAAAAAAACATATTATTTAAAAGTACATGTATCAGCCTAAAATGTTAAAAGACTTTTGATGTTATGACAATTTTAATAACAAGCTGTTTACATCAGAAAAAAATCATATTTAAGCTCAATTTTTACCTTTTTGAGCAAACTTTGATGAACACAGGAATGTTTCTACAACAATAAATTCTTTATTGGAATGTGGGTATGGAATAGTTTTGTATCCATTTTTTGGATCAGCAAAGTCATCTTTTAGTGATGGAAGTTCTAAATATTTTTTTATTTTTGATGTATCTTCACACTGCAAGCAATAGAAAATTCATAAATATTTCAAAATAATCAAATAAGTAATTTTTTTTTAATTAAAAAATATTATATATAAAATTTGAATTTCTTTTTAAGAAAGCTTTCATTTTTGTTTACATATTTAAGTATTATACACAATTTTAAATGCACAATAGCAACATTTAAAATGTATACCTTGTATATACACATTTCATATTTGCCATCAAGGCGAGTGACATTCTCATTAGTTGTGACAGACAGGTAAGCAAATCCATAGAGTTTCTTCTCAGCTTTGTCCCTATCTGCAGCAATACACGGGTCACAGGGTTATTATTTTATCAGTCATCTGTCATGTCAGGTGTTGTACAAGTCATCTGTCATATCGGGTGTTTTTGTCACGTCAGTCAACTATCATGTTAGGTGTTATTGTTTTATAAGTCAGCTATCATATATGGGTTTACTTTGTTTTTTTACAAGACATCTAGCAGTTAAGTTACTACATGAAAAGCCAACTGAACCCACCCGAATTTAATTAATTATTAGCCTGCCATATCACAAGAAGACGAAAATATGTTTAAGAAAATTTCAGACAATAACAAAGGAAGCTTTGACTTTTATTTCATTTGTTGTTTACGTTCAAGAATACATTTTTTTTATTTAAGCATGAAGTAGATTCGTCAATTTTAACTAGCATTGTATTGAAAAATCTTAGCATTGTAACGCTTTATCTTTTTGCTATAGCTTACCGCTTTATCTTTTTGCTATAGCTAGTAACTGGAGTTACACAATAATTTAACACTAAGTTTGGACCATAACTTGAGACTTACTTGAACAGTGACAGAGTTCAATCCTTATGTGGGCAGTGTTAAATTTTTCTATTGGTATAGACAGCTGAAGGAAAAAAAGCCAAAATACAAACACATTAATAAAGGCACACCAATCCACACTGAAATTTTTATTGGGCTTAACAACTCATCTTATAAAAAATTGTAGAACATTTTCCAATCAAATATTGTCATCTACACAAAAACATATTGATCTTTTTATAAGCATTTAGGTTTGTTTCCATACATATGCCATAGACTGCATATTTTTTATATCATAACAATGCATATTTTTAATAGAATTTTTTTTTAAATATGAATATATTTTCTAAAATAAAAGGAAAGCTCATCTTGTAAGTCCTAATTAAATTTAAAAAATGTATTGAAGATCTATATAATAACTCTCACCCCTGTCAACAAAAACATTTACACAACTATTAAATAGTAACACATAGATTCATATACACAGTGCACACATACACACAACTTACTCTGATAGTTTCATTCCACTTGGGTGCGTTACTGTGATACAAAACATAGGAGAAAAAACTGTCACTCATCTGATCACCATTGGCTGACAATATACAACCCTGGAATAGACAACAATCACCTGTGGTAATGGCTGATATTATACGCATTAGATGGCAATTGGTGAATTATCTGTTGGTTAACATTTACTTTAATTAACATCAACTGTAGAAATTAGGCACAGTGACTATCATTACAGTACATTAAGCTAAACAAAAAGTTTACTTTGTACTATAGTTTACATGATAATCTTGATATAGAAATTCCTCAACAGTTTATCTCAAAATTGTAATCAAAATGCTAGCGCCAACTAAATATAATCTATTTTAAATTTTAAATAGTCTTTAAATCTGATTGAAATCTAGTGATAATCTAATAAAAATTACCTTTATAATTTCATAGTTCTGGTTATACACAGTTATTCTAGCTTCAATATTTTTTGACGCTGTTTTAGAGCCCCTGTCAAACTCAGCTCCAGAAAGGGTTAAATAGAGATCATTACGCAGCTCGCCTGTTTGGTCAAGATAATGTAAACACTAATTACACAACTTAATGATGAAAATCACTATTTACATAATTTAAAGAGATGAATAATAATTTTTTTTTTAAATGAGGTGCATTTAATATATTATTTATAATACAGTTTAAAAAATTTTGACTGGCTGAATTTTAAAAATTTTTGGTCAATGAATCAATTTAGATTGATAAAACAAATTAATATGAGTAATCATGTTGTATCTGAAAAAATATGTGTAACCTTGAAGGTGTATAAGAACTGACCTGGGTTGATAATCTCGGGAAATCCCATGCGCTGTGTGAGTACTATCCCTCTAGTGAACAACAGGGGGTTCTCAATTTTTACATTTTTAAGGTCTCCGTGGAGAATTTTAACAGAAAGTGTCACACCTGAGGAGCAAATACAACAGCAGATACATCAGACTTAACTATGTTGTAGTTTAACTTAGGAAATTATGTAAAAGCAAATTTAGCACGTAACATAGTGAGTGATTTGTGTTTTATATCAACATAGCATTCAAAAGTGGAGATAGATTTAAAATACATATTTTTTATTCGTACTTGATCATAATTTATCAGGTGGTATACAAAATATAAACGACCTGTTAACTGTTGCAAATAATATGAAAGTGATTGTTACAGACAGATAAGAGAGATTGTTAGAGATGAAACAACCTACCTTGGTTTTGTTTATCCATGGCTGCCTTGCCTATGCTCTGCGTTTGTTTCTTGATAAGAATCTCATGCATGTTAGCAAAATCATTTTCAACACTGTATGAGCAGTAAAGAAGGTCAATAATTAGTAAAAATAAAAATAATTTTAAACTAAAGGGTTATTTGCATATAGTGACTAATAATATAATGTGAAAGTCAGTAGACAGATGCTGTAAAACAGTCTTGTTGTTTTGAATCAAGAAAAAAACAGTGACTTATTAGAAAACCTACCAGTTAACATACAGCCAAGTTAGACAATCTACAAGGTAACATACAGACAAGTTAGACAACCTACCAGTAAACATACAGCCAAGTTAGACAATCCACTAGGGAACATACATACAAGTTAGTACCATTAATCATACAGCCAAGTTAGACAATCTACAAGGTAACATACAGACAAGTTAGACAACATACCAGTAAACATACAGACAAGTTAACCTACCAGTAAACTCTGATGAAATATTCCAGTTCATTCTCTGGGTTGATTTGAAAAAGTTCTTTCAGTCCCAGAACTAAATAAAAAAAAAATTAAAGTTTGACTAAACCTATTTATGCCATGTCTTATGCTGTTTTACAAGCACAGAACAGGTGTAACACCACAACCTACCTGAGACTCCCCATGGACGTCTGTAGTGAAAAGTTGCTTGCTTCTTAAAGCTGCCCTCTGTTGTAAGTCGCCCTGTAAAAATATGACAAAACATTATTTTATAATATTTATACTATACTTTTTTATTGTTGTAATCCTATTTTTCTATTATCTCCAATAATTTTTCAGCTTACCTTTTCTTAAAATATGTATCACCAGGTAAATATCTTTGTGCATATCATCTGTGCTGAGGTCCTGTAAGAAGCCACCAGAAATTAAGACTTAAAAGCTTTTAAAATAACCAAAAAAACATTAATGACAAAGTGCTGTTTGATTTGGAAGTAATCTTTGGTTTGGGCATTTTTCAAACGTATTTAGTTCTTCAGAAACCATATGTAGTATGTGAACCACACATAAAACGTTCAACTTACAGTAAAAATAGTGCTACTGTTCTTATCATTTGCTTCCCTGCTTCTGTCTTTGTTATAATAAATGACAAATCTTTCACTGCAGATAAACAAAAACACATTAATTTTTGTTTTAAAAATTATTGGATAGTTTTTTTTTTAAATTTAATTTTTATTGAAATATTAGTTTATTTTTAATAGATTATATGATTTTCATTATTAGTGTTTTATTATTTAAAATATTCAACTTTTATCAATAATGAACAGATAATCATGGCAAGAAAAGTTCAAACAACTTTTTGGAACAGCTATTTCTGTTAAAGTCTCCACAATTTCTGTACCATTTACTTTCCATACCTGATAAATTTTCCTTCTGCCCCATCATAGAGGGACAGATAAACCTCAGCATTGTCCCCAATATCACAGGCCAGGGAGCACAACCCAAACAAAAGATGATGGACTGTCTCCCCTTGTTTCTCTCTGGCCTTCACCTTCATCATGCCTCCAGGCTGGAATGTAAAGTGTTAGCAAACAAGTAACAAAAGACAACAATTTCATTTTTTTTATAATGTTATACTACAATAAAACAAATACTAATTTGTAGCCTGATTTTAATGTGGCATATAGGATTTAATTTTTTAAAATAATCAATGCTCAATTAGAAAGGTAAATGTCAAACAAATTTTACAAAGTAAAACAAGGGGGATAATTATTTTTTAAAACTATCAATGTTTTATACAAGCATTGTACATCACATGAGGTACAGAGTTCAATTTGATCCACTTCTGTCAGTTGCCTCTTAGTCTATCCATTTTAGCAATGCATTGCACAGGCTATTATTTAAATGTTTTATATGATACTCAAGTAAATTCATATTTTATCAAATTAGAAAATAATCCAGTTTATTTTATCAAATCAGAAAATAATCCAGTTTATCAAAAATGTCATGCAACAAACTAATGGCAAGGAAAAAGTGATAAGACAAATAAAGTTCGTAAAACTACACAAGAATTTATTTTCTTTCTACTAAAATAACAAAGGATTATCTCAGATTACTTTAAAATGCACATCACAAAGAAAAGAGAGAATGTGTGAAGTTATAAAAATTACAATCTAATAGTGGTGGATTCATGCGGAACATGATTGTTAGACCGGAGATGCAGCATTCAGGGGAAGCTTTTTTTTTTGGGCTGGGAGAGAAAAAATAGATTCACGCCGACATTCGCCTGACTTCAACTTATTTTAAATTAATTGGGAAAAATATTTACTTGTGCCTTAATGTTGGTAAGTGGTACTTAATATTTACCTTAGTTTTACATTAGGTTTACCCTGGGTCTTAATTTAAGTTCACCTCTGGTTTTACGTTTACATTATGTTTACCTTGGCTTTTATCTTAAGTTTAAGTAAAGTTTACCTTAGGTGTTATCTAAGGTAGAGATAAAAAATATATTTTAAGTGCAAACAAACTTTTGTGCCAGGTTGCCTGTCAGACAAAATATTTTGCACCAGGTTGCCTACCACACAAAAGCATTCATAAGGTTAAAGGTCTGGTATTAGAGTTGATCTATAAAAATCTCTCATTATCAAGCCTGGGCTTTGATTAAAATTCAGTAGTGCATTAGACTGGCCTACGGGGTGAATAGTTGAATGTTTACACACTGTTCAATGAGGAAGTTAATTCAAGTTGTAATGCAGTGTTACACATCAATGACGCCAGAAATAGCATGCAGGCACATGCTTGACAAACAGAGGCCATCGTGTATGTTTAACCACTTACAGTGAACACTCAGGTTTGTTTTTATAGCCACAATTTTGGGTTGAGTTGATCAAATGTTAAGGACAGTTGAAGGGTGTAGGGTCTAGTATTGTGGAAGTTAGGGGATATAGCTGATGCAGGAAAAAAAGGGAGAGGGTTTTGACATCAACAAGAGAAAAAAAGAAGGGAAGTAATTACTGTGTTACCTGGTCTGGTTGCTAAAGTTTGGTGATAAACATTTGTTTAAGAACCAGTTTAAAGTCAATCTTAGTAAGATGGTAGGTCAAGGTGCAAAAGAGATGAAAAGATGGAAAGTTAAGGTCTAGAATAGAGTCTATAATACTCTTAGATGATAGTTTTAGGATGGTAGGTCAATATCTAGAAGTGATGATAGTTTTGTGAAGGTAGGATGGTAGGTCAATGTCTAGAAGAGATGGTAGTTTTGTAAAGGTAGGATGGTAGGTCAACGTCTAGAAGAGATGGTAGTTTTGTGAAGGTAGGATGGTAGGTCAATGTCTAGAAGAGATGGTAGTTTTGTGAAGGTAGGATAGTAGGTCAATGTCTAGAAGTGATGATAGTTTTGTGAAGGTAGGATGGTAGGTCAATGTCTAGAAGAGATGGTAGTTTTGTGAAGGTAGGATGGTAGGTCAACGTCTAGAAGAGATGGTAGTTTTGTGAAGGTAGGATGGTAGGTCAATGTCTAGAAGAGATGGTAGTTTTGTGAAGGTAGGATGGTAGGTCAATGTCTAGAAGAGATGGTAGTTTTGTGAAGGTAGGATGGTAGGTCAACGTCTAGAAGAGATGGTAGTTTTGTGAACGTAGGATGGTAGGTCAATGTCTAGAAGAGATGGTAGTTTTGTGAAGGTAGGATGGTAGGTCAACGTCTAGAAGAGATGGTAGTTTTGTGAAGGTAGGATGGTAGGTCAACGTCTAGAAGAGATGGTAGTTTTGTGAACGTAGGATGGTAGGTCAATGTCTAGAAGTGATGATAGTTTTGTGAAGGTAGGATGGTAGGTCAACGTCTAGAAGAGATGGTAGTTTTGTGAAGGTAGGATGGTAGGTCAACGTCTAGAAGAGATGGAAGTTTTGTGAAGGTAGGATGGTAGGTCAATGTCAAGAAGAGATAGTAGTGTATGTGATGTGAGGGTTGATGAGGTGGTCAAAACAAGACTATGTTAACCTCACATTCCTTGTGGCCCACTACTCATACCATGCCTACATGAGTGAAACATCCCATATTTTTATTGGTTTTACTGTAATGCTTGTGGAATCTACCTTTCTATTAGTAAACATGATGTGCCTAGCTAAATGTAAGATGAATGTACCCCAGTTGGATCCAGCCAAATCTACTAGATGATGAGTGCAGTGGCAGAGGCTGGAGCAGAGAAAATCTTACAAAATATTAAATAGGGGAACATGTTTTTATCCGATCCAACTAAATTTAAATCAATGATTCCTTTAAATATGTTTTGTGTGTTGAGTGAATTAATGCTCTGAATGTTATTTCATCAGTTGTGGTTGTTTTTCAAATTTGATTCAAGCTCACAAAGATTTAACAATCACTAGTGTTCACATTTATTTTAGAACATTTTAATCCTCAGACTTCAATGTTGAAAAATATATACTGTTACCTATAAAAAATATATATTTTAAGTTGAAGACTTTTCTGGTTGACTTACCCAGGCCCCTTGACAGTTTTTGACGCTGCGCTCGTGTATCCTGTACATCTCCACCACACTCACTTTGTCTGGGTCAGCCTCTTGGTACTCTACCCTAGGTACCAGGTCCATCCCAAGTTTTCTGTACAGGAATTTTTTCAGTTTTATTGTAATAACAAAGTACTTGAGTAAAAAATGTTGTCTAGGTCTGTCTTTTATGAGTCAGTGCAGTTGTTAAATTATTTTTTAATAACAATGTATATTATTACTTTCTTTAAAACAATGTTCAATTTGTTGGAGATTTTATATTTATTGCAATTTTTTAAATAGATATTTCACACCTTTTTTTACCCTATGGCCTATTTAGTTATGAGATGAAGAAAGGAAAGCAAGTCGATTAAAAAAAAAAGCGATAAAAAAAAATTATCAAATGAGGTCCAAAAAAAACAACAACAAAAACAATAAGACTCTCCAATTTGCCTCAGTCTACACAACAACTCACCCATTGCCCCAGTCCACACAACAACTCACCCATTGCCCCAGTCCACACAACAATTCACCCATTGCCCCAGTCCACACAACAATTCACCCATTGCCCCAGTCTACACAACAACTCACCCATTGCCCCAGTCCACACAACAATTCACCCATTGCCCCAGTCCACACAACAATTCACCCATTGCCCCAGTCTACACAACAAGACTCACCCATTGCCCCAGTCTACACAACAAGACTCACCCATTGCCCCAGTCTACACAACAAGACTCACCAATTCCCCAGTCTACACAACAAGACTCACCCATTCCCCAGTCTACCCTACACAACAAAACTTGCCAATATGCCTCAGTCTACCAGTCTACCCTACACAACAAGACTCACCCATTCCCCAGTCAACGCAAGACTTACCCATTGCCCCAATCTATCATGGTGATGGCAGAATGTTTGAGTCCCAGAGTTTGTTCCCTTGTCTGGGTGTTGGACACCAACAGGGCTCTGACCTTCAGCAGCTCACCCAAGACCATGTGAATAGTTTGGAACAAAGCGTTCCGGTCCTGTGGGTTTGGGGAAATATGTTAGTCTCAATAACACTAAACAAATTGTTTGGCCTTAAATATTTTAACAAAGCAATCTACTAAGTAGTATTTATAGAGACATTAGATGGGATAAGGGAACCTAATAGCCATATCACAAAGAAAAGAAACAAATTTTACCACACTGAAAATGACAAGCTTTATGAAAAACAAGGGACACAACTATATTTCCCACACACAGGGGAGAAAACTAACTATCACCAAAAATAAGAGAGATAACTGTCCTCACCACAAACAATGCCTTCCACCTCCCATTCCATTCCCTGAGTACAAAGGTCAGCTCTTTGATAATGGCATCATCTTTAGGTGTGACATCTTCAAAAGGTCTGGATACAATCAAGTACTAATTAAGTAACTCTAATCAATATATTAATTTTTATTTTATTAAAGACTATTATTTCATTCAAATATTTTTTAACTTCCACTTTGGTTGTCAGTATCCATAGATTATTTAGCACTCATAGATCATTGTTAACCACCCACGGATCATTGTTTAGCACATGATATAGGATTTTTAAGTTAGGATGGGGCTGCAAAAGGGTGAGACAGCAACAAAGGATCAATAATCTGGATAATATAATATCAATGGCCAACTTTTTATGAAGAATTTAATTTTTGTATGAACAAGGACCTTACTTTTATTCTAAATACTACATAAGGTATGAAAAGTGTGACAGTGATTGGAGTATGACTGAAGCTGACTGTATATTCAAAAATTATTTTGAGGTTACGGTAAAAAAAAGTCTAGAACACAGGCGATAGTGCATTTGTGAGTTAACTCCGGGGTGTTTAAGTATTTTTATCCCAAGGTCAAATGTGAGTATATAAGCGGAGTGAACAATTGTTAGAAGGGATTTTGGGTAGCAACTAGCAAATAGGCCAGTACTGTGTAAAGTGTCGAAACGGGAAGAAATAAAACACTTAAAAGTGAGTGCATCGTGTTTTAAAGTGAGTCACGACACTATTAATAGAATTAAATTTACTTTTTCACCCAACAGTAATGAGTGAATCAAAGAAAAGGGAAATAACTTTGTGTGATGTCAGAGGTGAAGAAATTCTTTTTTTTATGCTAGTGAGGGATTCGGGACATTTTTATTTTCATTAAATTACACTATTAATTTTACTTAGTTAAACAGACAAAGCCAGTTGTATTACAATTACAACAATTTCTAGAACTTTCAATGTATTCTTTAGTTTACATTTTTCTATAAAATTGTGTTTGAAGTGAAATGCTGTTTCACTGAATATAGTCAAGAAGGAAGTTTAAAAACCAAACAGCACTTATAGAAATGAGGTTTGATGTAAAAATAGATGCTCCAATTCTCCTGTACAATACAGATGTTGCACTAGATATCAATCTACCAGCTTGACATATAGTGTTAGTCCTTGTTCGTCAGATCTTACATTAGATACAGACTAGTTAATGGTCAGACTTTCACACACAGACAGTGTTAGTCCTTGTTGGGAAGATCTTACATTAGATACAGACTAGTTTGTGGTCAGACTTTCACACACAGACAGTGTTAGTCCTTGTTGGGAAGATCTTACATTAGATACAGACTAGTTTGTGGTCAGACTGTCACACACAGACAGTGTTAGTCCTTGTTGGGAAGATCTTACATTAGATACAGACTAGTTTGTGGTCAGACTGTCACACACAGACAGTGTTAGTCCTTGTTGGGAAGATCTTACATTAGATACAGACTAGTTTGTGGTCAGACTGTCACACACAGACAGTGTTAGTCCTTGTTGGGAAGATCTTACATTAGATACAGACTAGTTTGTGGTCAGACTGTCACACACAGACAGTGTTAGTTCTTGTTGGGAAGATCTTAGATTAGATACAGACTTAACTAGTTGGTCCTTGTTGGGAAGATCTTACATTAGATACAGACTTAACTAGTTTATGGTCAGACTGTCAAAGGTTCTATCTATCTTATTTAGTAAACAAAACACTCCTCCCTATTGTGACTAGCTTCTGGTTTGTCAAACTGTCACAAATCCTATCAATTTATTTTGTCAGACTGTCACAAATCCTATCAATTTATTTTGTCAGACTGTCACAAATCCTATCAATTTATTTTGTCAGACTGTCACAAATCCTATCAATTTATTTTGTCAAACTGTCACAGATCCTATTAATTTATTTTGTCAAACTGTCACAAAACCTATTAATTTATTTTGTCAAACTGTCACAGAACCTATTAATTTATTTTGTCAAACTGTCACAGAACCTATTAATTTATTTTGTCAAACTGTCACAAATCCTATCAATTTATTTTGTCAAACTGTCACAGATCCTATTAATTTATTTTGTCAAACTGTCACAAATCCTATCAATTTATTTTCTCAGACTGTCACAGATTATCAATTTATTATGTAAGCAAAACAAACCTTTCTATTGCGACTAACTGCTAATTTACTCAACAAAATATCTAACTAATGTCAACTCAAAAATTAATACAATACTTAAATATAACAGTGCAAAAAATCTTTTCATACAAACTTCAAAAACCAAAGTATTACAGTTATAAAATCACAGAATAAAACTGAAATTATAATGATTTATTTTTTTAAATGTGTAAAATCCTGACAACTTGATAAGAAATATTCAAGAGCATCCAGGTATGACTGAGACTAGGAAAGTATAGACAGGTGAAAGACATCAGCAAGAGGTAAGTAAAGAGGAAGCTGGTACACAAAATCACAGGATCACCAGGGAATCCGCTATTGATTGATATGCCTACAGGGGAGATAAAAATGTCACTTATTTACCCTTCATTCTCCACACTGAATTCTTTGGTCACCACGTAGGACAATGGGAAGATACCCTGTGAACAATCAGGAAACTTGTGTAAACAAATATAAATTACAGTAACTTTTGAAGGAAATCAATCTTTGAGGTTTTACAGTATTAAGCTGACTTTTCTTTAGTTTATAAATAATTGAAACTTTGAGAACATGTATAATGCATTAAGTAGGTCTAAACCACAATGGACAACTAAACAATACCACAATAGAGCACAAATCCACACCACAAAAGACCACTGAACAATACCACAATAGACCACAGAACCACACCACAAAAGACCACTGAACAATACCACAATAGACCACTGAACCACACCACAACAGACCACTGAACAATACCACAATAGACCACAGAACCACACCACAACAGACCACTCAACAATACCACAACAAACCCCATAACTAAACCACAATAGACCACTAAACAATGAATACATAAGCAAATGATGACCAATAGCCTCTACCTTTTTTGCCTTGTTGCTGAAGGTACACCCTCGCAGCCATGTCACTAAATGGATTAAATAAATGTAAACATGATTACAAGAGTGTGAAGGGAAAACAATAAACAAAACTATTTTAATAATAAACATTTACAATAGCTAGCACACTGATGTTTAGAGTGGAAAAATATTTTTTTGTTAAATGACTTAAAAATGGACATTTAAAGTAAAGTTCATGCTGAGGTTCAAAGCTGTAGTAATCAACAGGTGAGCACTCTTTCAGTATGCTAATTACACATTAACTCTACTTCATCTTCGATGTGAACTAATTCATTACAGGTTTCTACTTTAATTAGCATTGGTTCAATTTTCACAAATGATAGTTTTCTGAGTGAGTTTAGTTCAAGAAGAATAAACTACACGATGTTGCACATTGTTGTACTATTTTTAAAAGACAAATCTACATAATTTGGATATAAAAATTTTAAGCCTGATAAAAAATGTATTATTTCATTGGACATTCATTGAGTTATTTCGATTATCGCTAATTTCTTCAACAGTTTAAAATATTAAAATTTAAGAAGTGTGCTGGGAGGGGAAGAGGCAAAAAATAAACAAATCACCAAAAAAAAGATAAATGGTAAAGTATAATTAGAAAACTAGGCCCTCGTGTCAACAGTGAAGTAAAAAAAAAAAACAAATTTCACCGGGGATTCCCCCGACCCAAATTTCTGCTACCGTGATAAAAACTTCACACTAACGTCACTGGGATAAAACTTCACACTAACGTCACTGGGATAACCACGTACAGTAAAGACAACGACAGACGTGTTGAGACTTGACAAACACACTGGCATCGTGCCTTAACAAGACCTCATTTGTCATCCCTCCCCGCCTCACCCCCTACCAAAAGTTGACAGGTGTCAATCAAACTCTGCTAACGAGATCAACTTTTCGCATATTTTCCTCGTCTTTTCCGCCTTTCGCTTTTTTTTCACGCCGAACGTAGCGTTTCACATGTGTATTGTATAGAGATCATTTGAAATAACGCATCAACGTAAAATGTTTATAAGCCGATAACAAAAACTCAATGGTGTAGCCGCTATGTCTAGCTAGCTCGGTGTGACCCCCCCCCCCCCACCCACACATACAAACAGTATTATTACACAACCTTTACACAAGCAGTATTCTCGGTCCTCACACACTATTCTAACCAACCCCTCTCCCCTTTCCATACGACTTGCGACGTAGCTCTTCTCCCCCCCCCCCCCCCCCCTTTTTTTCCCCTTTATGACGCTACAATACGAGCAGGTCATCTTAACTACCACTGAACTGGTAGCCTAACCCGTCCGTGCATGGCTGATTCGGTGTACTCACTTTTCATGTGTAGGTCATCACGTGGCCTACAAGGTCAGCAGGTCAGCCCTCATCCTAATCATCCCAACAATTAAGTGTAAAAGTCAAAGGTCAGCTCTGACCATAACAATTACCTCAGTTATGTCAACTGTCTGAATCCTAACAATCATTCTGGCCCGTATACATATGGGCACTGCGGTTAATGGTCATAGTGGTGTCTAGGTGAACTTTGGATAACACGACGAAATCCTCCCCCCCCCCCCCTCCCCGCCAAATGTTATAACAGTAGTTGGTCTAAGACAGGGGTTCCCAACCTTTTTTTTACTCAAGAGCACATTCTAAAATATCGGTAGGGTGGCGGGCACCACCTATTTTAAACCGACAAACTCCTTCCAGAGGCGTAGCGACCCTTCCCGTCACCCGGGGACAAAACTTTCGATTTGCACCCCCCCCCCCCCTCAAACTTTCGATTTGCACACCCCACCCCCCTCAAACTTTCGATTTGCACCCCCCCCCCTCAAACTGTCGATTTCCATCCCCTTCAACCTTTCAATAATGTTTATGAAAAAATTTCTGTCTCTGTCGAATAGTGAGAGGCGGGCACATACGAGTCGTTCGGCGGGCACCATGGCGCCCGCGGGCACAGGGTTGGAAACCCCTGGTCTAAGAGATGGGAATATTGGACATTGGTCACTAATATGTCGAGAATCTTGTTGAGAATATAGTATCAGGTCCCACAGTCACTTGTATCTTCTGGTCTCCAACTAAATCACCTCGCACCGTACTGAGGGTGTGAAGTAAGATCGGAGATGGCTTCCGTTTCCGGTCATTGCATTCGCGCATCACTTTCAATCTAATAAAAAGCTTTGACTTTTTGTTTTGTGTTTTTGTGCTTCACATAAAAAGAAAGTCGCAGATCAGGACAAAAAGGGGGAAGTGGGGGGTAAGGGGGGGGGGGGGGTGGACACGTAGGGGAAAGCGGTGCTAGTTAACGCTTGGATGGATTTCATTCAACCCTGCGTACTACGTCATACAATGGGGGACTCCCGAGTGTTCAGGAATCCCATTGTGTTACTATTTCACGAAAAAACTGAGTTTTTTTTTTTAAATTCTTAAAACTAAGCTTTTAATGTTTTATTTTGTTTACTGTTAAAAGACTTATTTTTTAGTAGGCCTATACCTTAAGAAACTAAAGTTTGCATTATACTGTAACTGACACTTACTTAAAAAGATTATAAGGATATTTTTTTTTTCAATAATTGGTTTTATCAAGTTTAGCAAAAGGACTCCTCTTTTATAGATCCAATGTATTCATCTTAGTCGTGACCATTGTCCACCTTGCCAACAAACACCTACCTTATAAGCAGGTGATTGAGAGGAACTGTTAATGGCAACTCACCTGAGTTGGAGTCCGGCCAGTACTCCTCCAAGATTTGCACCGTGTCCCCGATTTGTAGGTTTAGACATTGCTGGACTGTGGTACATCGGAAGTTGCTGATGGCTACATGGACAAAATAAATTCCTGTTATTGACCAAACCTTTAACTCAATAAATTAAATTATTTCAATTCAAAACAAAGGCCTCGCGATGAGGGTGTTTGCGGACCGCACCAGGTGACACCATTTAGGGGGAGACACCAAAGCAAAAAAATTGCAAAATTTACAGAGAAAAATAAGTTTTGTTTGACACGTCAATCAACGGCCGGGATGAAGCGATGCCACATCTAATAATTTACCATGAAACGTTGCTTTTTTTTCAAATTGAATTAATAGGTAAATTACTATGTGTTTACAAATTGACGCAATTAGGTAAATGTGATGAAGCGGGCGACACCAATGGCAACTTTCGCAATGTACGGATCAGAACGACATAAAAAGTAAAGAGCAAACAACGGATTCAAATGTTGGCAAAATATTTATTTGGTCGCTGTAGAACTCATTGCCCTATACATTAGAGGTCATAATTCAGTCCAAAAGTGAAGCCCGACCTAGCGACGCTACTGATTCAAATACCAGTGTTTACATTGGGGTGGGGGGGGGGGGGGGGGGGGTAACGGCAAAGTCAAAAAGAAGTTTGGGGTCGGCGAGGTCGGGCCGGTAAAGCTCATGGTTGCTGAAACGAAACGTCCCGGGTTCGAACCACCAGGTAGATGAGGCTTGACAGCTGGGACCCATCTAGGAGAAAAAACTCCAGAATCAAACAACTGTGTAGCTTGCGTGACACTTCTCGAAACTTCGTATGGGTAATATAACAATACTTATGGGCTCACAATATAACAATACTGATGGGCTCACAATATCGGCAGTAACGACCACACTAAACACCGAGATACGATCGTTGGGGGAAGAGGTAGAAGTGGCACAATTAACGACCAAACACTGCTCTAATCTATCAATACACAGGCCCCCACAACTAGCGTACAACGTAACAACTCTATGATACAGTACAAGATAGTCATACAAATTAACTCTATAATACAGTACATTATAGCCCACCCAATGTTTCAGCCATACACATACAACTAGCATACAAATTAACTCTATGATACAGTACATGATAGTCCACCTAATGTTTCAGCCATACACATAAAACTAGCATACAAATTAACTCTATAATACAGTCCAAGATAGCCCACCCAATGTTTCAGCCATACACATACAACTAGCATACAAATTAACTCTATAATACAGTCCAAGATAGCCCACCCAATGTTTCAGCCATACCCATACAAATCGTCTACAGTGGTAGACGTGTAGATCTTAAACCCGGACTGAGCTTATATTTCCCTGATGACTTCCTGTGGGAGTCACTGCTAGAACGAATATTGAACGAATCCCGACTCCATAAAAATTCGAATTGTCTGTATAAGCACAAAAACTTAACGGAGGGGGTGGGGAGAGAACGAGAGAAAAAAGGCACGTGTACTAAGCGTTTGATGGAAGAAATTAGTAAATCGTCGGGAATTTTTTAGTTGTATGTTGGTGGGGAGGGGGGGGGGGCTTAGCTGTTTGGGGACTCTAATCTGGTAGGAGTGGGTGACGCTAAGCTTCCAATAGCCATGTAGCTTATAAAATAGCAATTTTATAACAAAAAGGTGGCTTTTTGCATCGAACTTTGCATCTGTTTTTTTTTTTAATTTAAAAAGGATGTTCTCTTATTTGGATGACAAACTATAAAATTAAGCTTTAATTAAGGGGATGTAAACATAATGTTAAAAGCGCTTCCGATGCTTTCCCCTTATGACAGTAACGTATGGCGTTAAAAGTCCAGTGAGTATGACGTCAGAAGGAAGATGTTTACGGCAAGAAGATAAGAGCTGGTAGGGTATAGCGTTGCAAACATTGTGTGGCGTCACACCAAGTTGGACAAACAAGAAATATCCGCTTAGAAATGGGGGAGGGTTGGATCAGGTAAAAACAAACACGATACAAGCCAAGCAATTATCTAAATCACGCCTTGAACCCAACTTTAATCTAGTATGGTTTGTTTTACTTTCTCCTATAGGCGAGGAGAGTAAATTTCAGCTTTATAAACCTAGCATACAGACGACATCTAACATTTAAAAACCTGGCATACAGACGACATCTAACATTTAAAAACCTGGCATACAGACGACATCTAACATTTAAAAACCTGGCATACAGACGACATCTAACATTTAAAAACCTGGCATACAGACGACATCTAACATTTATAAACCTGGCATACAGACGACATCTAACATTTATAAACCTGGCATACAGACGACATCTAACATATTAAAACCTGACATACAGACAACATCTAACATTTAAAAACCTGGCATACAGACGACATCTAACATTTATAAACCTGGCATAAAGACATCTAACATTTATAAACCTGCCATACAGACGACATCTAACATTTAAAAACCTGGCATACAGACGACATCTAACATTTAAAAACCTGGCATACAGACGACATGTAATATTTAAAAACCTGGCATACAGACGACATCTAACATATTAAAACCTGACATACAGACGACATCTAACATTTAAAAACCTGGCATACAGACGACATGTAATATTTAAAAACCTGGCATACAGACGACATCTCCTAACTTTTAACACTTGACATTTAATACAACCAAGCAACAACAACAAAAAAACCTTCACCTTCTGCGTCATACAAATTTATTTTAGTAGTAAAAAAATGTTTTAAATGAAATAAAAGGAAACGACCAAAATGCGTGTATATTAAAGTCAAGTATTCGAAAATATGGAAGTGTCCGTCTACTTGTTGTTTAGCCAGGCCTACACTGTCGCACATCTTATACAACAGTTAGCGACTCCAAAACACCTTCAAACCAAACCCTAACATTATCCCAGAACTTTAGAATTAAATCTACAAATATACGTATGGCTTACATTTATAAATGGACTAGGGTCGAGATTAATTTTTATGTACGTTTCTAAAAGCACAAAATGCTTTATAAAATAGTTAAACAATGAAGTCTTAAAACATTTGGTAAAAAGGCAGTAATTATTATTTTTTTTTTTTTTTTTTTTTTTTTTTTTACAAAAACAAAAATTGTGTTCTCACAACTCTTGTTTTCCGCGCATCAGACTCGACCAGACTATTTTAGCTTAGGCCTACCTCACGACATACAGGCTGTTAACCAAACGGGATGACGAGATGCACAGACAGGTAAGACAGAGACAGGTTGAGTCCGGGTCACGAGGGTGCCTGCGACACAATTCGAGAAATGTGTGTGAGGGGGGGGGGGGGGGGCAGCTGCCTTACGGTGACCTTGTTGGATTGTTTACTTGAAACCTACGTAGTTCCACAGAACCTAAAGGCAGACATAGAGAGGAGGGCTGTTTCATCAGTTACACCGTGGGTCGTGTCCCAATGGTGGGGTCACGTGTACAAACAAATCACTCTAACCATATTCACCGCTTTATTTAGGTGTATATTGACCGGGACAAATAGGCCTAACCGTCCAAAAAAAAAGTAGAGTTGTCTTAAATAATTATCAAGAAGTCTGATGTGGAGTGGTTGTTTTTTAATCCAATGAACGGTGTAGCTCGCAGAATGCCCAGGTTTAAACAATCCTCGGTTACCGGCAGAAACCCAACGTAATTTTATGACGGTGTGTGACGAGGGGGACGGGGGGGGGGGGGGACGGGACGGGGGGGGGGGGGTTCAGAAGGTGTGAAGTCACATGTTTGCATTATAAAAAAAAACAATGTTAGAAAACGAGTTTTAGCCGTTATTTCGCGTTTTAGAAACCTGTTTCAATAAATTGTAATAGGAATTGATTTAAATATTCTATGTTGACAGAGTTCAGACAAGATTTTGGAATATTTTTTTTTGAAAAATATCGATGTTTTAAGAAAAATTCAACTGCAAAGTTTAGGGGGGGGGGGGGTTGTAGGCTGAGGCGTTACGTCATTTTAGGGGGGTGGCTTTTTGTGACGATATGTGACGGAGGGGAGGGCGGGGGGAAATCGACCAAAAAAGCGTGACGTCATTTATGGACGACCCCTTGGGTCTCTAGAACTTACTAGAAGGCTGGGGTTACTAAAAGGCTGGGGTCACCAGAAGAATGTTTTAGTTTTTTTTTTAAGCTGTAAACGTTACTGATATAAAAGGTCCTACTGGAATAAAAGATGTGTAGATTATTAATGTTTAAGTAGGCTAATGTCCTGAGCTGCAAACTAGCTTTGAGTGTGTTAATTTTTCAAAGTCAGCATTTCTTTTGAAGCCTTTTGAAGTCTTTCTAGTCCCTGTTTATTTAAATCTCAGTCGAGTCCCCTAACCAGACAATCACTAGCGCTGTTCCTCTCCACTGAGGTTAAACTGTGCTGAGTTTAAATGTCCTCCTTCACAAACAGGTAACTCATGATTAGCCTATGTGTATGTGTCCCTCTAATTAATCTTACCGTGTCACGAACGAGCCTAATCAATCAAGAGCTGATTAATTATTTTTGTTCTACTATCGATTGGGTCCAACTATGATTAATTAATGCCCAATCAAAAATTTAACACACCTATCTCCCTGATTTTGAGATGTTTGCCGTGTAGTAATTAACGAATCCCATTTGACGCCCATTTCCCACGCATGTTGGCAAAATAACATTGCAATGACCTACATAGGCTTTGAGAATAGATGGGGGGGGGGGGGGGTGTAATGTGTCACAAAGAGCTAGAACTTTGCCTAGCAGCGTCTCAAAGGGTTAGACAGCGTTACAAAGTTCGACCCACCCCCAATATTAAACTAATGTAACAAGTGTTTCATTATTTTGCTCTTGATTAAAATATAAAGTAAATGCTGTCATATTTCTCTAATCCCTCTTAACACCCCCCCCCCCCCACTCGCATTCTTCACAGATTGTCACAAAAGTTTGATAACACCCACTCCCGCTCTACCTACGCGTGTGATGTCATTTTTTGACAAGCCAAAAATGGAAAGAACGGCACTATTCAAGCTTGTGTGGCTACGGCTAACGGGAGAGTTCCAAAACAAACAGAACG